GAGGAGGAGGAGGAGGAGGAGGAGGAGGAGGAGGATAAAAAGAAGAAGGATCCCAGCCAGCCAGCCAGCCAGTATACCTTCTGGATACAATGCATGCACTCCACGAGCATGCCCGCTCCGCCGCCGTACGACGCACAAGTGCTGCGTGCGCGACGAAGCCGTCGTCGCCCACCTGGGAGGAGATCTACTGCACTGCCGCGCGGCGGATCCGGTCGTTGCGATCTATATCCGAGAGAGAGAGATGGCGAGGGTGATTCCCCGAATGTGGCGCGGGGAGGGGAGGAGGCGAGCTACTGGTTGTCGATTGCTGAGTGATGATGATCGCGCGAGGGCTGGCAATTGTGGAGGTTCCTCTCCTCCGGCGAGGGCTGGGAGGATGCGCTGGTTCTGAGGGTGCGGGTGTAGTGGTTGATGGGCATGTCTGGGGAGCGGGTGGGTGAGTATGCTGCTGGGGAGAAGGGTGGGTTGTTGATGTCGGTGGGGGAGAGACGTTTTCTTTTACGATAAGTACGTAGTAAGATTGTATTTCTTGGTGAGTTTGTGTTTATACTTTGTTTCTCTGTTTGCCTTTTCATTCTTTCCAGACGGATGCTCCTCTGTCTCTACCTCTCTCGCTCCCAGATATGGACGACGGCGTCCTTGGACGACGATCGTCCAAGGAGGATGATCTTTGGAAAGGCTGTAAGAAAGAACACGTCCTGTCTTGCACCTATTCTTACGGCAGTCAGTCAGTAATCTCTCTCATCTCAACTCTAAATGTACATCCTCAAGCATTCCCATCCATCCACCATCTATTCACGACCCATTCACGACCCATTCTCTCCTTTAGCTCTCCTTCAAACTCTCCTCTAAACTCTCCTCTAAACCCTCCTCTAAACCCTCCTTCTTCCACAACTCTTCCCCTTCCACAGCCCCTGCAAAACCATCAAATTCAATTCCAATTTTCCAATCCAATCTCCATTCAAACCCACCAACAAATCCCATCCCATCCCATCCCATCTCACTCCCCACCCCACACATAACAACCAACCAACCAACCATCATCATCATCATCAAAACTAAGCCTCATCCCTCCAACCCCTCAACCAACTACGTCTTCTTAACTCCCAACCCGAGGCAAGGAATTCCTGCACACGAGGAGCTTCGTGCTCACGGAAGGAGATCTGGCAGCGCGGCGCTCGCTCGCGCGCTGCTGCTTCGGGGGGGGGGGGCGGCTGGAATGGAAGGAGACGACGTTCGGTTCTTGCCGGTTTGGTTGGCGGGAGTTTGAAGGGCTGGGATGATGATTTGAGTGAGTTGATGAGTTGAGAGAGAGAGAGAGAGATGAAAGGATCTTCGAGAATCCTCACTCAGTTAAAAGAAAGTCTTGGTGGGAGAATTCTGCGATTGATGAATATAATAATGCCTCGTCTTGACTTTGTGATGCTGACTTCGTCTTCGTGATGTGAATTCAACATGATTTTGTTTCGCCAGCCTCGAATACCACGATCCGCCACACTCAAGTGCAAACGAAAACTAATCATCGCACCAATGTAAAGGCCAAGAATTATATGAGATCAAAATTCTTTTCATTCCATCCTTCGTATCCGCCTTATCAACCATTACTCTCCTCGCTGTTCTTCACCTCTTTCCCCTCCTGAGCCTTCTTCTCGTCCTCTACCCTCTTCTTCTCAATCCCCACCTCGTCAACGTACCCCTCGGTCTGCATATCCAGCAGTCCCAGATCCTCTTCCTCTTCGTGTGTCCGCTCATACTCCTCCGTCTCAATCTGCGGATCGGCGTCCGGCGAGCACAGGTTCTGAACGTAGCTGCTCGCCAGCGGGTCCTTGAGCACGACGGTGAATTTCCGCTCTCCCCGGATCGCCTCTCCCAGGCTATCGAAGAAGGCCTTCCAGGTAGACTTCTCGGCAGACGGCAGCGAGTCCCCCCCCGCGCCAGAATCGTCACCGACATCGAATATCTGCTGGTGCAGATCGTCGCGGACTTGCGTCAGCAGACCCTCGACCGTCGTGAATCGACCACCGAGGGTGCCAGGGTTGACCGAGAGGTTCAGCTCTGGGCATTCCAGGGCGCAGGACTCGGACTTCAGGATATCACGAGCGAGATCCGTGGGCCCGTTGACGTGAAGTGTGATCTTCTTGCCCTTCTCCGGGACTTCGCCTCCAGTCTTCACTTCGTTCGAGCGGTAGCCGCAATCCTCGCACACGGTGCTCATGATAACCACTTGTTTGAAATGCGGAATCTCCACCATCTTCATATGCGTGACGCAGTGTCTCGTGCATCCCGGACACGTTGCGGGGAAAGAATACACTTCATTAGGGATGATATCGTCGTTCTCAAAGTTCTCGGCGGTTGGCTGGCCTGCGGCTGATGGCTCCAGGGCTTCTTGCTCGTTGCCTACACCGAGACCGAGTGCTTCGTTTTGTTCAGGTGTGCGTGCGTATTCGGTCTTGGACCACTTTCCTACGCCATCCTTCTGGTTGGGCTCGATCCAGGAGTTTCCGGCTGGGTCGTCGAGCGAGACTCGGAACGGGAAGCTTTTGTTGGCTAGCATATCCTTCCCCTTTGCTAGGATCGCCTCAATCTTGGTGTATACTTCCGGCGCTGCTTCTTTTCTCGCTGCTTGTCCAACCTCCAGGTCTTCAACGACCATGCTGAGCAGTCCTTCAACGTTGGTGAGTTGGCCTCGGCCGGCTGGGATTTCGATGTCGAGCTCGATGAACTTGACGACACAGGTATCGGACTTGACGACTTGGCGCGCAAAGTCCTCGGCGGCTCGTAGGCGAAGCTCGTAACGAGATCCTTTCTGCTGGATTTCGCCTGCAGATTGGATCTCGGAATTCTTGAAGCTGCAGTGTGGGCAGAAGAAGGACATGATTATGATTTCGCGGAAGAAGGGTATTCTGGTAAGCAACATCCGGGTGATTCCCTTAAAATAATTAGAATAGAGTTGACTAGATTGATTGATAACTCGTACATTCTCCTGACAGTTCATACACAAGCTCTCAATCTCGTCGACAACTCTGGGCTCATCGTCTTCTGGTTTGTCCGGTGTGGACTCGGCGCCGTTTGTGACGGGGTGTTTTTGGCCATTCTGGTCGTTGATGCTGAGGTTTTCGGCTTTCTTTCCTATGCTATCGAAGAAGGTATCAAAGGCAGCGCCGTCTGGCTTCGGGTCCTCTGTCGTGTGAGTCGCCATCTTGTTGATTGTTTTCTGGGGAACACGAGGTGGGATGTTGTGGAGGGGTGATAAATATTTTTACGATAACGTCACAAGGCTGATGACCAATGAGGGGTCTAGCGCGAGGCTGAAAGGCTGTGGAGGTGAAGCGGAGGCGACGTAAATTGAGCCAAAACAAAAGCGTAGATTCGTTTCAACCGCAGAGCAAAACGATAGGAGAGCAACAACAGAATGAATATATTGACCACGGTGGTCAGTAGAAGGAAACAGATAAAAGGGACAGAACATAACGCATTGCTCCGTTTTCAAACACATGATATATTTATTACCCACCCAGTGACGAGGCTCGCAGTCCTAACCGACTGGCCAGTGGTCCCAGACCTTGATTTTCCTTAATTAACATGGCTCGCTGAAACTAGCATGTCCATCAACAATGGCAACTTGCTATTCTTGAGATTCTCAAACGGAATGGCTTGCCCGGGCCGATTCTTAGACACGGTATAATATTGGAAAGCAGCGTGGAAGAGGGCAATCCACGTCAAAACGGTCACTAGCACAAGAGTTTGGGCGTTCCGTGTTGCATGTCGTAGTTCCTCAATTTGATTCCCATAACGAGTCCCACCCAAAGTGGTATCGAAGCTCCGTAACGGCCATAACTTGGATTGAGATGTGATCCTTGTGTCTTACATCCGTCTCGTATAGTCGTCCGTGGAGTATCTGAACCGTGGGCGATATAGGCCCTGATGATAGGGAAATCATATCGTTCACTCGGGACGAGGCTTTGTGGTGAGTGGTCGCTCTCCATGGTCGAGGCACGCCTTTTCAGAAAGGATTCCAAAAGTGTTGTTCGTAACGAGTTCCAATGCTGTGTTTCTCCGTGCCAATGATTTGTGATCCCATTTGGTATTGGTACCCAAGGCTCGTACTTCACATGGAAAAGTCAGGCCACTGTCTGAAAGTAGCGACTTTAGGTATGTAGCATCTGAAAGAAAACACTCACGCGTTCAAACCTTTTTCATAAAGTCCATCAAATCAAGGCCAAATCCAGAGCTCGATTGCGAAGCTTGGTTCTTTGCGAGGATAGCCGCTAACCCACCCTTCTTCGATTTCTGTCTCTTCTTGCTGCTCGGTGTAGGGGTACTGGTAGCTTGGGGCGTTGTATTGGTAACAATAGAGACTGGATTCGATGATGAATTTGACATGGCTTTTCGGTGCCTGCCAGGTGGTTTTGTGATGCCTGATGATATTCGAGTCTTTTTAGAGCAAGCTCCGCAGCTGTAAATCATCGTCTTGGGCGCCTTCGAAGCATCTGTGCCTGGCTTGCTCTTGCCCTTCCTCCGCTTCGGTGTATCCTGTTCCAAGGTAGCTTCCCATCCCAGGGTCATGATTGTACCGCATGCGCCACACGCATCCCTCCTTTGCGACTCGGACAGATCAATCTTGGAGTCGAACATTAGAGCATTGTGTCGCGTCATTATATATCTCGAGGTTGCAGGAGCTGTTGTAGCTAATAAGTGAGCGGAATCATTTAAAAAGCGTAGACGCGCTGACAGTTCCTTGGGATCCATTGTGAAAGCGCCCAGCTCGGGGTGTAATATCAGATGAAGGTTGCGCGCGCTGCGATGGTGAAGATTGAGTTTGCTGATGATTGATGATATGAGGCGAGTCGCATATATTGAGCTCGGGACGGGACGGAACTACCTAGTCAGGAGCAACCATCGAGAACTTCGACAATATTGATCCGAGTTCGACCTTTACGACCTTCCCACTGCATAGACGAAGATTAGGCTCGGATACAGATAGGTACACCACACCCATTTCCTGCTCCGAAGAGCCCTGTTCTCCACGATGAACCCCGCATTGGGCGAAGCACAGGGCTTGCGAATTGCCGTCGAGGGCTGCGTAAGTCCTGAAGCTCCAAGTCTGCCAGTACAAATCTGACATCTTATGAGGGCCATGGTACGTTGGATGCGATTTACGCAGCAGTAGGCAAAGCCTGCGAGGTCAGAGGATGGGATGGCGTGGACCTCCTCATTATTGGAGGTGATTTTCAAGTAGGTCAGACTGACTACCAGACCACCTAGTGGATGATATTAACGAGCACCAGTCAGTACGAAATGCTTCCGACCTTACTGTAATGTCTTGCCCTGTTAAGTATCGAGAGATTGGAGACTTCCATGCCTACTACAGCGGTGCCACGAAAGCTCCATACCTTACATTATTCGTGGGAGGTAACCATGAGGCAAGTAGCCATCTCTGGGAACTCTTTTATGGAGGATGGGTGGCACCAAACATATACTACATGGGAGCTGCTAGTGTTGTCCGGCTAGGAGGAGTGCGCATCGCAGGCATGTCGGGGATCTGGAAGGGATACAACTTCGACAAGACACATTACGAACGGCTTCCATACAGTCAAGACGATGTCAGGTCAATCTACCATGTCAGGGAAATCGATGTCCGGAAACTGCTTCAACTCAGTACCCAAGTTGATATTGGGATCAGTCACGATTGGCCCAAAGCGATTGAGAATTTCGGAAACTCAAAGGCACTGTGGCGTTCGAAGCCAGATTTTGAACAGGAGTCGAGAGATGGCACACTAGGAAGTAAAGCAGCTGCTATGGTCATGGACCGACTCAGACCTCCATATTGGTTTGCTGCCCACATGCACTGCAAGTTTGCCGCTACGAAGACCTACGAAGATGTGCCAAAGCCCAACGGTGCCCCAACTTTGGCTACGGCCCCAGCCCCGGCCCTAGCTCCAACTGTCGTTCAAAGTGCTCCCGCTTCTTTACAGCCAGTTGCGCCTGTAGTTACCCGAAATTTAGACGAAATCGACCTTGATATGGACGACGAAGATGAGATTCCGGCCCAGCCTGTTGCGGCGAGTGAAACCGCTACAGCTAATCAAGATGAGATATCTTTAGATGAAGACGAAATGAACGATGCGCCTACTATGTCTTCTGTTCCTTTGGATGTTAGAGCCCAGTTGCCTGCGGCTTTCTCGAGACCAGGAGCTAATCTGCACACACAAGCCGAAGAGCCAATACCAGATGGTATCACAAACAAGACTGTTAGATTCTTAGCGCTAGACAAATGCCTACCTGGTCGGAAATTTCTCCAATTGCTCGAGGTTAGCCCACTGAACGCCATTGAGAAGCCTTCGCTATCGAATGGGTCCAGAACAAAGCCAAAGTTTGAGTACGACCCGGAATGGCTAGCTATAACCAGAGTTTTTGCTTCGCACATGATATTTGGGAACAAGAATGCACGAAATCCGCGTGATATCGGCGTGGCCAATTACCGCCCCCTGATCGAAAAAGAGCAAGCCTGGGTCGAGGAGAACATCGTCAAGCAAGGAAGGTTGGGAATACCAGAGAACTTTACTCTGACAGCACCTGCTTTTGTCGTCGGAACGCCAGAAATCGTGGATGAGGGACCCCGCGAATACAACAATCCCCAGATGCAAATATTCTGCGATCTAGTAGGCATCGAGAACAAATTCTTCGCTACGGAAGAGGAACGAGAAGACAGGATGAGGAATGGACCCCCTCCACCACAACCAGGGCATGATGGAGGTTTTGGTCGAGGCCGAGTCAGCCGTGGGGGTCGAGGTGGTGGAAGAGGCGGCGGCGGCCGGGGTCGAGGACGAGGGAGAGGTGGTGGCGGGAGGGGACGAGGTGGGGGCTGGTGATCGGAGAAGGACCGGAGTCGATATTGCTTTTCCCAAGATACCCCTCCCTGTTGCTGTTGCACGACTTCACCCGAACCACTTCTAGGCTTGCTCAGTGAGCTTCTGTGTTCTCTGGCAACGATGTCCTTTGAAGGAACAAGAACGGAGTTGCTCGTTTTGATGTCCTATTGAAGTGTCGCTGGCATGTGCTCTTCGGCGTGGTGCAAGCCTTGTGGACCGGTGGAGAACAGCTTAGTGAGACGACAGTAAAGGTAGGTCGGTATCTGGTTTGCTGTTCTCACATACTGTAGTCTTCCCTGCATATCCTTTGCGACTATGCCCGTAAGCTCCCGAGTCCTGTGTTCTTGACAGCCGGAGCGAGGCAGGACATGGCAGATGCAAATCGCCTTTCGAGGCAGTCGAGACTGCTGTCAATTAAAGCAGCCAAAAAGTCAATGAAAGCGGCCAGAGGCCAGTGCTACTGGACGACTTCCTGCTTTTGCTCCGGCTGGGTCTAATCTAGGTACTCTCCCCCCCATGAATACATGTCGAAAGTATAATTTTGCGAGGGATCTTCTCAGGTCTTAAACCGATCAACTTACGTAGTACTACGTCGCAGGCGTAAGTATTACCCCTCGAGGGTATGGAAAACAGGGGGTTTAAAGTGGAAACTAAACTTTTAAGGCACCCTCGAGGGGTAATACTTAGGCCTGTACCGTGGTACATACATAGTACGTAGTAGTATAAGGGTTCATTCAGCCTTGAAAAGTATCTTTGAGCCAGTATTTAGTCTGTGCAATGGAGTTGATAGGGCTTTAAGCCATTCAGAAATCACCGCTCCACGATTTATGGAGCTAAACTGGGTCCGACATTCATTCATGGGGGGCGGATAGTAGCTTTATACGATGAAGTTACCTACCGTACTCTGCTCTGTACTGTATGTCAACGGTGTCCGGCATGCGAAAGTTTGCTTGGCCCGGATAATATGTCACATGCAACTTCTCCCCGCAAAGCAAGACTCCTGATTCGAAACCGCCAACCTCAAGGGCATTGACCGTCTATCTAGGTATTGGGGCCGGAGACGAGGCCTTCGTCTGCTGATTAACCGGGTATCGCATCTCAAGTCACATCACGAGACGAGAATCCCTGGGTCACGCAATGGCCCTGAATTGGTCTGGATGGTCTGGATGGTCTGGTCCGTCTGTCCGTCTCATCCGTCTCGTCCGTCTCGTCCGTCTCATTTCGTTTCGTGTTGCCATTCCGTCCGTCTATCCCTCCGTACCTGCTGATCGCGTGGGACAAGCCTCCGCGGGCGGTGAGGACCTGTACGTAAGGTGCATTCAGCAAAAACCAGGGACCACTGCCAAGCTTGATTGGACTGGGCAAGGTTTGGGTTGGTGTGGAGCAGAGCAACTGGATAATGGGAGGACCCTGAACTGAATTGGACCGGATTGAATTGAATTGAGTTGAATAGAATAGACCTTTACCATGATAAATATACTTACGGCCTCTCTCCTTCTCTCCGGGCTCTCCATTGTGATAGAATCGTGTTCCATCTCTTCCCTATTCCTCTTCGGGGCGGGGTTCCATCGTCACGAACAACGCTGGACGGCAGAATCCAACCTCTAACTCTAAAAAAAGAGGAAAGGGTCCTCGGCCCAATCATAGCCTCCTGAATCTCCACGCTCTACTCCGTACAACTCTTCCATATCAACAACTTGACTTCCTCTCCACGCAAACCTATATCCCTTGAACACAGAACACATATCGCTCGCCCAGCCCAGCCCAGCCCAGCCCACATCCTCGGAATACCACCGCATACCGCTTTCCCAAAAATTGAATTCGAATTCGAATCTGAAGTTGAACTTGACTCAACTCAACTCAACTCGAACTCCAGACTGGTCTCCCTCTGACGTCGACATTCACTAACCGTCTGAATGGCTCCCCAGGAAAGACGTACATACGATCAACGTAGCGGTATTTTGTTTCTTCCCAACTAACCTATCGCACAACACTCCCTTGGCTATACCAACCGCAATTGGCTGTTTGAAAAATACATACAACTAGCTACAATGAAGTTCGGACGCCAGTAAGTCAACTAACCTCCTCTATGGCTAAAACCTCACGCCCTGTAACTAATGTGTTTCTCACAGTCTTCTGCGGACCCAGCTTCCAGAATGGTCTGCCAACTACATCAATTACAAAGGATTGAAGAAGCTTATTAAAGCTGCTGTTGCTACTATCAAGACCGGAGCAGAACCTGACCTAGCTGGTACGGTAACCCCTCCAGACATGCCGACTTTAGCTAATCAGCCTCGAAGAATTCTTCTTTACCTTGGACCGAAACCTCGAAGATGTCGACGAATTCTATAACAAGAAGTTTGGAGATGCGTCTCGGCGGTTGAACCTTCTCAAGGAGCGATATGGCTCGTCAAAGGAAGCTTTGGAGTCTTTGGATCTCAACGATATTGAGGAGCTTAGGGGTGCTCTGCTGGAGCTTCGTGAACAACTGAGGAAGCTCCAATGGTTCGGAGATCTGAACCGGAGAGGCTTTACCAAGATCACGAAGAAGTTGGACAAGAAGGTCCCGAATATCTGCACGAAAGAAAGATATCTGGCTTCAAAGGTGGATTTGAGACCATTCGTGACAAACGCTGGTTTACTGGAAGAGCTGAAGGCGACGATCAATGGTCTATTGTCGGTGCTTGGTGACATCCAGGCCAACGCCGATGCTAATGATGCCAAGTCTGTCGACTCGGCTCATTCTATCAAGCAGGTCTCATCGAGGTCGATTTTCAATTTGCCCAACGGCCTTCTTGACACCGTCGATCAAGCCATCAGAAACGACAATGTACCGGCTTTAGAGGAATCAATTGCGGAGGCCGGTCTGGAACCGAACGACCCCGCAATGCAAAAGTTGCTCGTCGGTCTGTTACAGCGATGCATCTCATGCAAGTCGAAGAACTCCATAAGCTATCTTCTGAAGCACATTGGATCTTTGGACGAGACGGACGACATCAACAAGCGTAATTGCTTGCATCGTTTGGTCATTGCCATTGGCCGGGCGAAGTCTCCCAGAGCAGGGGACCAGACCGCTGCATCTCTTTTGAGTGTCGATCACAATGGGAACAGATTTCTCACGCCTGCAATATCCACTCCCCTCGGCCCTGCTCCAAGTAATCTCACAGAGTCTCCCTTGTTGAGTATGGATGATGAACATGTCAAGCTCCTAGCCTATGTGCTGCAAGCCCTGGAGCCACATCAGCGCACCGCATTGAAGTCGAGAGACAACTACGGTAGATTTCCTCTCCACTACGCGGCTCAGTTTGGATTCGTAATCGTTTGCGAGCTTGTCATGAAGAGTATGCAGGAGTGGGGTCAATTCAATGTCGAGAATGGCATCGATGCACCGGAATGGCAAGACAATGAGGGCCAAGCGCCGCTGCATCTCAGTGTCATCGGAGGTCACCCTTTGACAACAAATGCTCTTCTCAGGGGAGAAAATTGGCGAGGCCAGAATGACCAGAAGGCTGCCTTGAGACGGGATATCTCGAAGTCAAGTGCTGTTTTGGCCATGGCTACCAAGGCGAACCTCACAGTGATTGTAAAATTGCTTGTAAGTGCTGGGGTTGATATCAACTGGCAAGACCCGGCTGGTGAGACTGCCCTACATGTTGCTGCCAGATTTGGACACGAGGAATGCGCCAAAATATTACTCCAAGGCACCCCGGAGCAGAAGATCAGTGTTGATCTGACAGAGAATACGTTTTCTTGGACGCCTCTCCATATCGCCTCGGTCGATGGACATCTGTCGATCGTGGAACTTCTGATCGCAGCCGGTGCCAATGTTCAAATTCCCGATGTATCCGGCTGGCTGGCCAGAGAGCACGCAGCTCTCCGCGGCCACATGAAAATAGCTGCAAGGCTAGCAGAGGCTGGCTCGGCTACCTCGAGTCCAAAATCAAGCGCCTCTGCGGGCACTCGATCATCTTCTCCACCAGCTATGTCATCAATTGAAACTGCCCGCTCCCAGATGACCAAGGTCGAGATGGCCGAGCCGCTCAAAACTTTTGGTCATCGTTATCTCACGAACGATAGCATGATCCTTGTCAGTTTGGGCTCCATGGATATGCGGAAGGACGTTCCAGCAGTTAAACTCGAGAAGATTCCCATCGCTGAAGCTCATTCCACGCAACTCGATACCGCTCTTTCTGTAATAGTCAGCGCCAGAGGAGCACAAGGAGAGCCATCCACCATCGACCTCCCGGTTCCGGACAACATCTCCACAGAGCCAATGGTCTTCACAGCTGTCGATGCTTCGAAAGTCAAGCTATTCTTCGACATTGTGCCAACCTATTCTGGTCACCAGGATCACAAGGTTGGAAGAGGTGTTGCGATTCTAGGTAGCATCAAACAAGCGATCGGTATATCACGAATGAACTTGCAGGGAGATGTTAGCGTTCCAATCATGAGTACAGATCTTGAGGTCATTGGTACCGTCAACTTCAACTTCTTGATCATCAAACCCTTTTTCCACCCAAACATGTCGATCACAACCAAGCATACATACTGGAAGGAGGTTGCTTCAACGATGATCATCGGCCACAGAGGTCTCGGCAAGAACGTCACCTCGAACAGATCTCTGCAGCTCGGGGAGAACACCCTGCAGTCTTTCATCGCTGCAACCAATCTTGGGGCTAGTTACGTCGAATTTGATGTTCAGCTAACCAAGGATCACGTTCCAGTCATTTACCATGACTTCCTGGTCAGTGAGACCGGTATCGATGCACCTGTTCATACGCTCACGGCAGAACAATTTCTCCACGTAAACGATGCTTCGCCTAGAGTCTCCCGACCTCCTACTCCGCCAAGAGATAATCCTCAAATCCGGGTTGTCCGAGGTACAGACCGAGTCCGCTCATTGTCCACGGGACACCTGCTGCAGGATATCGATATGGCCGAGAAGATGAAGCACACCCGTGACTTCAAGGAAAAGGGGTACAAGGCGAACACTCGCGGAAATTTCATCCAAGCGCCTTTCACCACTCTCGAGGAGATGTTCCTGAAGCTTGAGGAGAATGTGGGCTTCAATATTGAGATGAAATATCCAATGTTGCACGAGTCCGAAGAGCACGACATGGACGTTTATGCCGTTGAGCTTAACACCTTCTGTGACACGGTGCTCAAGAAGGTGTATGACTTGTGCAAGAAGCGCAAAATCATCTTCAGCAGTTTCAACCCTGATATCTGCCTTCTGTTGAGTTTCAAGCAGCCCAGTATTCCTGTGTTGTTCTTGACAGATGCGGGTACTTCTCCGGTTGGTGACATTCGGGCCAGCAGCCTTCAGGAGGCTATTCGATTTGCGAGTCGTTGGAATCTGCTCGGTGTTGTCAGTGCAGCCGAGCCGTTGTGCAACAGTCCTAGGTTGGTGAAGGTTGTGAAAGACAGTGGATTGGTCTGCGTCAGTTACGGCACGCTGAACAACGACGAAGACAAAGTAGATGTAAGTTTGCCTGTATTAGTCGCCTAAAACATGCTAACAGCAGAATAGCAACAAGTCAGAGAAGGTATAGACGCAGTGATTGTCGATAACGTTCTGAAGATATACAAGGGGATGTCCAGAAATGCGGCGAAATTAATCGATGCAACTCTCGACAAGGGGAACTTGGCCGGCGGTGTTGAGGAGGTAGTCGTCTAGACTCGGTGTTTGGAGTTTTCCGATACGTCGGAGAGGCTTGCGCTTGCAACTGGACTTGAGGAACGCAGTAGCGAAAAACTTTGGAGTTTTTCTAGAAGTTGAGAAAGGAGTGTGCTCACGCACTTATTAGACGTGATTGCAACATGGCGTTGTCTCGTTCGTTCGAGACTGGGGTTGGACTTTTGGAAGATCGAAGATCATTGGTTTTGCACTGAATTCTACTGGGTGCCCAGCCTATGGATGTTCCACTTGACTTGATGGTGAATCGTGAAATGTGATGGTCCTTGAAATGAAGACCTTGTAGCTTTGGAGCTGATACTCGCTTAGACCAAAACAGAGGGGTAAACTGTGTCTTCGTACTGGGGCTTTTGCCGCGGAGAGATTACCTAGCTGCGATCATTTAACGTGTTGTTGTAGCAGGTGCATACGGGTTAGACATGCTGCTTGATGATATCGCATAGTTGATATATTGTAGAAGTCACTGCAGTTGCAGTGATGAACTACTTATCAGCCTCGGTCGTCCCGCTAAAAACGGCTCCCACATCATTGGACAGCCTGAGGGGCAGGGCCTCGCCCTTGAAACAACAACCACAGCCATCGCAGCTCAACCTCAACCTCCCACCGAACAAGGAATCTAAACCCAGAGCTACCTAAAGCATAAGTTTCTGTGCAGACCTGTTATTATGGAGACCATCAAAGCTGTGTTCTTCAAGCCAGACCCTCAAGCTCAGGTGAGTTTCCCAAAGCCTTCCGACTTGCAGGCAGGCAGGCGCAAGAATCCTAACACTTAATCCTCCCAGGTACGAAAATGTAACCAACTAATCCGGGCCAACACCCGCAAACTCGACCGCGATATCACGAACATGAAGCTCGCGGAGAACAAGGCCAAAAGCCTCATCATCCAAGCCAACCGGCGGGCGCAACGCAACCCGTCCCAGGCAAAGCAGGCAGAGAAGGACATCCGCGTCTTCGCGCGCGAGCTGATCCGGACCCGCAAGCAGCACAACCGACTCGTCACATCCAAGGCGCAGCTCAACAGCGTGTCGATGCAGGTCACGGAGGCGTTCGCGGTGCGCAAGATCGAGGGTAGCATCCGCAGCTCGGTCGGCATCATGAAGGACGTGAACAGCCTGGTCAGGCTGCCTGAGCTAATGGGCACGATGCGCGAGCTAAGCCAGGAGCTGGTCAAGGCCGGCATCATCGAGGAGATGGTTGGGGATAGCCTGCCGGATGAGCTGGAGGAGGAAGAGGACGAGGAGGCCGAGGGCGAGGTCGATAAAGTGCTCGGCGAAATTCTGTCGGATAAGATGGGCAAGGTGGGCCCGACGCCGAGTATGCCTGAGCCGGTTAAGCAGCCGTTGCAGCAGGAGGAGGACGAAGACGAGGATGCGGAAGCTATGTTGGATCAGATGAGGGGGAGGCTGGAGGCCCTGAAGAGCTGAGGTGCTGAGATGGAGTGGGGAGTGGAGAGTGGAGTACGTGTTGTCACTATGGGTTCTATTGCGCGGCATGGAGTTTAGGATGGGAATTGGGTCACGGTTGTGGGCGTTATCTGAGAGTCTGAAAGAACGCATTCTGCCCATAGGGCCCTCTGTTCAGCGAGGTATGGTTTCGGTACCCTACGGTCTGGCTATTTGTCCCGCTCTCCGAATTTTCGGAGGGCAGGCCCTTTCTTTACCACCAGTATCTGCGTCTCCCTTCAATCGGAGCTGTGCAGAATTTCCAATTCTTCGAGCTTCGCCAATTTTGAGCATGATACTACGTTGTTTCCTTTCGTCTCTTGCTTTCTGGGTGGGTTGGGGGTTGTTGGGCATGTTTTGTCTGCTCTTCCTAGTCACAGGTCCGGCCACAGGTAGCTCCCGCTGGCTAGGTTGTTCTCTCTTTTGCCTTTCTACTCAATTGGTTACCAATGTCACTATTTCTAAGGATAGCTAGGTGTGATGTCTAGCTTCCACACCAGTGGTCATCTAATACCTGTTGAGCCGACCCTAGCGACTACGCACACTTAAACTCCCTTTTTTCTCAAAATTCCATCCCCCCGACATTGATACAGAGCAGCCACCACCGTGGGATCCATCAAGATGCACATGTCACGCATCGCTCCCATCCTCATAGCGGCGGCCCTGCTGGCCCTCACCAGCTGGGCCAGCCCAATCGACATGGCAGGAAAAGTACCATCTCGCAACGATACTGTTTCCATCTTCGAGCCCTCCTCCGATGGAAACGCCACCAAGACCAGCGTCACCGACGAGGATTACACGGCTATTGCCGACTCTTTCCCGACCAACCTCCCAGGTGCAGTCAACCGAGACGTCTCTCCACCACCCAGCGAAGACGTCGTCGATCCCCGGGCCGCCATCCACGACGCCCTCGCAACCTACGACCTTTCCTACGGCCACCCGTCAGCCGGCGCGATCGAGGCACTCAGCCCCGACCAGCGCGGCATCATCACCAACCTCGACTCGATGATCCCGTTGTTGAAGGACCAGGAGGAGAAGGAGACGGCGCAGATGGTGGCGCGGCTCGTGGCGCAGAAGCTGCTCCACCCTGACGCTCCGGATGACAGGTTTGCAGAGCAGGCCGCCGTTATGGTGTATAGTGCCAGGGAGGATATTGGGATGGGGGAGGCTTCTTCTTCTACTACAACTAATGCTCCGGTCGGAGAATCTCCTGACGCTGACGCTGACGCCAGTGATGAGGACGATACCAGCGATGAGAACGATACCAGCGATGAGAACGATACCAGCGATGAGGACGACGCCGCTATCGAGGACTACGCTGCTGACGCAGGTGTAGACGGTGACCACGCGTGCTCCTCCTCCTCAGGGCTTACCGTCCACGCCCGCGCCGCCTGCAACAGCATGTCAGAGTCCAAGAAGCCCAAGAAGAAGCCCAAGAAGAAGCCCAAGAAATCCAAGAAGCCCAAGTACTGCGCCGATGGCACCGTGGAGCCCGACTCGGGCGCGCAGGACTGCCCTCCCGTGGCGCAGTGGCAGGCAGCGCAGCAGCAGGGCCGCGCGCTCCGGGCGCACCTGCGCAAGAAGGAGCAGGCTGATAAGCGGCGAGACAACAAGCGGATCGCGCGCACCGTGTTTCTGTCGCTGTCGTGTGCGGCTGTGACGCCGTTGCTGATGCTGTGTCCGCTGATGACGATTCCGGGGGCGATTTGATCTTTGAGGGGGGAGGAATGAGGAATGAGGAAAGAGAAGGGAGGAGGGAGGAAAGGATGAGGGAGCAGGATGGGGTGTGAGTTGGTTTAGATGCTTATTTCTTTCGCAAAAAGAGGGGGGGGGTTCCCTGGAATGGGGTAAAAGAAAGATATGGATATGAATCTTATCTCGAATACAAATGTATATTTTCCAATTTTCTTAAATCCTATACTATATTCCCTATACTCCCTCTACTTCTCCACCCATGTATAGATCGATAGATAGATACTGGGATAGGGAGGGACTCGAAAGAGAAACGACAACTCGAAGAAACAAAATTAGCGAGGGCCCCGAAGCTATATCACGAGCACGTTGACGGACAATTCAGCGGCGATATTTGTAGAGTTCGTGAAAGATCTTGTCGATATCCCCGCGAGCACTCTTTTTGGTTTCCGAGAACGGGACTTTGGTTTTATATAGAGCTCGCGACTAGAATAGAATGATGGGAGCAGTTCTCCGCGGTTTTCAATCTCTGCCGCAATCTGCCGTGTCAAAATATCCATCGTCAAGACGAGCGGCCGTTGCGCACGTAGCGACGTGGGCGGTGGTGCGAGTCCCGGTTCCGGTGGCAGGCCTACATTTCAAACTTCAAGAATCACGCAAGAGTCGTGGTCATCACGTTGAAGGCCTAGTGAGGTACCCAAGTTGATAGCAGTTGTTCAAGAGATTCGAGGCGGGTCTTCTCGAATCGTCGACCCTCGCGGAGTCTGAACATTGAGGATTTGCTGGGTTATGCTCACCCACAACATCCGAGTGGCTTCTGTTGAGCCTCAGATTTGGCGTGGGCTTTGATTCGTATGTGTTTTTGTCGTGTTGTCATCGCGTGGATCTCATCCATTGTGATGGCGCTTGCCTGAAATACATCGAGATCGTTGATCCTCAATGATAGGGCCGATCGCTGTCTTTAGCCATCGGATCCAGAAGTCGACAGGCATGTCCCCATCTTCAATGATATAGTAGGGCATATTTTTGAAATTGGGCTGCTATATCACTGCTGACGCGAACCTCCTTCTGCTACACGTGACTAATCGCACACTTTGATTCAAAACAGCCTCTTTTTTCTCTTCTTTCTATTGGGGGGGGGGAGCTTGGGGAGGCTGGATAATGGTAATACCAAGAGAATGCTTGGTTCTTACTTAAACTTGTAATCTGAGCGTTTGAGAAAATTTCATTTGGATGCCAGTCGGAAAGAAGCAAAGGATGGGAGACGACGGTGTAGTTATATTGCAAATATTGACCAAATATATAGAACAAATATAGCAATTCGATGGAAATTATCCTCCTGTTCATCATACGATTTTCCAAATTCTGCTCTGGAAAAACGTTGTCAAAATATAAATTTTCGCGCCCTGCCCCACTTCCACCGACGCGGCCCGTAAGTTTCTTTGGGTTTCTATGGCGAGGCTGAATTGTGCGCTTCCACCAATGGAGACTTCACCAAACTTCTCGTTAACAATCGAACAACCAACACCTTCTACTACTTAAAAAGAACTTCTCACTCGCATGAATTTCTAATCCAATCTTCTACTGACCACGAACGGCTTCCCTCGCGCACGCTATCACACGACCAGATCAATAATGTCTACCGCCGCCACTCCTGAAGGTAAGCCCAACATTATCATACCAGTTAGAAGAACCACAGTTTCACTTCCAGCTTCAAACCAAGTCAAAGCTTCAGCCTATCGCAGCGAGAGCAGCATGTCGGCTGCCACCACCACCCTCTATTTTCTCTATACGCAAGTAGCAGAAGACGAAGGCCACTGCTAACAAACCATAGTCCTCTGGGCTCAACGCTCTCACAAGACCGACGAGGCCAAGAACTTCATCTACCTTACCATCAGCGTTCCTGACGTCCAGAAGTCGAATCTCAAGCTTGATATCAAATCACAATCGCTCACCTTCACCGGCCACTCTGACTCCCTCAAGCGAGACTACCACCTCGAGCTCACCTTCTGGGGCGAGATCGACGAGAAGGAGACCAAGATCAACCACACTGCTAAGAACGTTGCGCTGGTCCTGAGAAAGAAGGAACTGAAGGAGGAGTTCTGGCCACGATTGTTGAAAGATGCCGCAAAGGTCCACTTCCTGAAGACCGACTTTGACAAGTGGGTTGATGAGGACGAGCAAGATGAGGCTCCCGAGGACGACCTAGGTGAGTGATAGCATGGGGGACACAGATTCTCGAGCAAGCTGACACACGATAGCAAACATGGGCGCAATGGGCGGTGGAATGGGCGGCATGCCAGGCATGGGTGACATGAGCTCGATGATGGGAGGTGCAGGTGGTGACTTTGGCGGTATCGACTTCTCCAAGCTTGGCGGTGCGGCACCTGAGGGGGAGGATGACGATGATGATGATGACGACGATGAAGATATGCCCGCGCTCGAGGGTGAGGACGGCAAGGAAGACGAGAAGGCGGAACCTAAGAAGAGTGCTTCCAAGATTGAGGAGGTTGCCTAGGTGGTCACATCGATGGGTAGACCGACCGGACAGGGAGGGCTTCTTCGTATAATGATTCTCGAGCAAGCGTCACGATGGATACTTGGGAGCATTTCTTTGAACCATTTCGATTGATGCTGGGGGATACTTTCTGGAGTTTGCAGGGCGTGGTCGTCAGAGACAGGCAGCAAATAAATTAAGTGCAATAGTTAACATTACTTTTTATTTTGTTCTTTTGTTTGGAGTCTGGGTGCGTTCGCGAACTGCTGCCTCTATTGGCCATTTCAAATTACGTCGAAATGCACATTGCTACAGTATTGGCCTAGTGGTCCATCCTCCTCGATTTTCCATCTTGTCTCCGATTATTGTCTCTGGCACATCCGCTGATGACATAAGTCCGACAGGGTTTGATTTTGTATCTACTGCTTGAACCTTTCTTTAAGTATAGGATGGAATAGGTATACAGAGGTCGATGCTAGTAAGTGGCAGTTGTGTTCTCCTGATCTGAACCAGCTCCGGGACACAGGTACAGACACAAGACTCCGCAAATGTTGGGTTCGTCGTTGTCAGACCCTGGCTTAGCCACACCCAGTGTTGATTTTCTTTGTGGACGGATGAATGGAATGGGTTAGCGAGGAATGCTCTTCACAGCAGGAATCAAGAACGCGCGATGGGTTTTCAAATTTTTCTCTTTCTGTTCTCTTTTGTCTTTCATGGGGAAGAGAAGAAGGAATGTCGTAATATTTAAAACAGCTTCTTCCCCGTGGGATTGTGTGTGGTATGTGTGGGCTGGCTCTCTCTCTCTCTCTCCTCTCTATATACCGCGGTGGTCCAGTCTATGTATCCGCAAGACCCAGCAAATCTCATCTCATCTCACACACACGTCCGCCTGACGAACAAGATAATTCCGTCTAGCTTTCTCCCAGCCGACAACTCGGGGGAAAAAAAGGCACTTTTCGAAGCTCGCGCGCATCCCACCCGATATCGAAGGGAAAATGTCGAGCACGGGGTCCTCCTCGGATTCGAATCCGAGCTCCGCCCGCCAGAGTGCTGCTGATGAAGAAAGGCACCAGCCATCTACGACGTACCTGGAACCAGGATCGGGACAGGTGTCGGAGAAGCCCGAGCCGCTGATGTACGGGAGATGTTGTCGATGCCTGCAGGAGACGGTCTCGCACATCTGCTACATTTGCGATCCGACACATCGCTGTTGCGAGCACTGTACGCGGTACTAGTTTTCGGGGCTCTTCTTCCTGCAGAAACGATGTGTAGTGCAACGTCGATTCCGGAGGGGGAAGATGGCGCGTGCCTAGGAGGTCCACGGAAGATGCACGGCGTAGAACGCTCGCTGCTCTGAGAACCAAACTCCCCAAGTGTCTCTCAAACCTGTGGGCTTGGTTGGGAGATGGAGGGTTTTGGTTACCGCGCGGTGGCTCTCCAGGGGGTATCCTGCGTCGCGCGAAGATACGGCGATCGTACCGACGAGTTGTTAGGGGTGTACTGCGTGTGTGCGTCACGCCCCGTGGAGACATCTTCGATCTTGCCAGCGTAGGTGTCTGAACGTCGTGATTGCTCGCGCGGACCATGCGTTCTGAGAGAATCACAGTACATGTGCGCTGGTCGCTGGTAGTTCAGGTAGCCTCCTTGTGTAGGAGACAACGGATGCATCACCTGGTATGGCTGTGGAGTGGGGAGACAGTACGGCATGGGCTGGTAGGAAATCTGGGGCTGTACAAGAGGCGGCAAGGTGTACTGCTGTTGAGAGGGCCCGATGGTTGGAGCAGCGGCTTGGATTTGGGATTCGGTGCGAGTTGCTGAAGCTTTGCTGCTGCCCAGGCTCGACGCTTCTATCGAGGTTCTGCTAGGAGGAGAAGTCAGAGGCTTCTCGCTTCGTTTCTTTGGCCGCTTGGTGATGCGGGATTGGCTCTTGGTCCGCTGTTGGGCTTTGAACGAGCTGACTATTCTGAGGGTAGGAGCTGGAGGAGTGGTCACTATGTGATTGGGCTTTTGTCCTGATCCGAACTGGTCGAGTGAAGGAGGATTGGAGACAGCTACGTAGGTAGATAGACGTCAGCCTGACTTGGCCATGATTCGCTGGGTATTGGGAAAGCACTACCATTTTCAACCCCAAACACCTCTGCTACCTTTCCACACTGACAAGTGTTGAGATTGTGCCCGCAACTTTCAAGCGGTCTCCCGGGTTTCCTGACTGCGACAAGGATTCGGTCTGTATGGGCGCACGATGTTGCTCTGTGACCACGGATGCACGGCTCGCTGTCGAGGTTTTAACAAGGGTTAAGGCGAGGAAAAGATCTGGGTCATGAGGATCTTACCAGGAGTACTTGCGGCCGTTTATGTGAGGCATCTTGCTTGTAGTATCTTCGAAACGTCGAACTCGGCTGTGGTGTGGCTTCGGAAGTCCAACTTTAGTACCGAGTCCATCGTCTCCTCGGAGGGTAGTTCCGTTCCTTCATAAAAAGTACGTACCTACTGTCAATATTACCGCTGCCCCTCGCAACCCATACTGGTCCAATGTCCAATGAGATGCCTCGAACCTGCAGAAGATTAGAGTAGTGCCAAGCACAGAGAGCAAGTTTTCAGCCGGTGGTAAATCTGCTCATGGATGGGAAAAGGTGAGTTATTGACCACGAAGCGAGAATGTGAGCTGGTTTGAGCTAGTTAGTTGTTTACTGTTCAACCCTAATAGTATAGCTCTAGCGGGTTTGCAGGGCCCAACTTTGTTCTTGGGGCCTGGGCTTGGAGGACTGAGCGAGAGGTCCGTAAAAACACTTGCATTTTCCTGATATACAAAGTCTACGTGAGATTTAGCGAATTGTACATAAAAAAGAAAACAAAAATCCCAACGAGAACCAAAAATCAAAATATCCTGAGTAGAGACCATATCTCTCCCTCTACTGTTCCCTGCATTCCTTTCTCCCTTCTTTGGGTACTTCCTTCCTTTAAGCTCTTCCATTACTCCACCCGATCCCAGGTTCTATCCGGCCTTGCCTTTCTTGGTCTCGGTCCAGGATCTCCAGCAAAATCCCCCCAACTCTCCCAATTGACGGTTTGGCTCTCATACTGTTGATCAAGCTCGGCCCTTGTTCCCCAGCAATGACCCCACAGATCCAAGTCATCTTTATTGAGCGATTTAATTGGAATAAGCATTTGAATGTCCTCAGGGTCATCCGAAATACCACTGTATGAAAAGCGCAATGCCTCATCCGCGTCATCTGACACCACTGACTTGATATAATCCATGATAGTTTTTTCGTTGGCGTACCATAATGACTGACCACTCTGATAGTTTTTAGGTGGGATCCATACTCTGCCCAATTTTTTCATCTTTTCAAGATCCGCTTCGAAAGCGCAATAATATGCTCTTCTGCCGTCCCACCAGGTAGCAGGTTTATTGACTGTTCAAATTATTAGCTCCGTGTAATGAATAACGATTTATACATTTGATCCAACTCACCGATGTGAATGCCTAATCCTAGTTTTTTCATAAATCCTTTATAGAAATTCTCATCTTTAGGAGGCTTTTCTTCACCATTGATATACTCGGCTTCCCCCTGTGATTCGCGTAATTAACATAAGCTTAAATTATATAAATCAATTGAAACTTACTCCAGTAGCAAGTAGATAACCGATAAGTTCTCTTCCATAAGCTTCCTTAAAGAGAGAGCTAGAGGCTAGGAAAATCGAGCAAATTAACTGCGACGACAGCCTCATTTTGGAGATGCCGAAATAGTGTTGATGGTGGGAAGGGTGATAGATTGAATCTGGAGGGTAGGTATGCAAAAGGGGAGTTTATATCCTTTCTATAATGTATCTGACCATCTTCATTCTACTAGCATTAGGAACCGTATTTGAAATTTCTACGTCGACTATAAATAATCGTCCGGCTACTGACTGACCTATTTTTGTTTTTAAGGTCGAAGATCATCCGACGGAGTATTCAGACGTTAATAAATACAGCAACAACAACAACAACAACAACAACAACAGCAGCAGCACAAATCCTACGGAGTAAGTGGTCTAAAATTGCATTGGCGCCTAGCTAACTATTTGTAATATTGCAATCGTCTTTCTCGTATCACTAAATCAAAAAGATTAACATAGTATTATAAGCACAAATACAGTTACAATAATTAGTCGGAATGGGTCGGAGTGGATCGGGTCATTAAACACAATCCTTTGAGATTCAATATACTACGTAGTAGTACCTACCGATCCTTCAGTTTACTGCTCTTTGACATCATGCTTTTAATATACTAGTCGCTAATCTGGCCCCGCAAGACTCCCTGCCCCTCTTGTTCACAAGATTATCGGCCGATTATTTTCTATGCCTCGAACAAAGTGGAGTTGTTTTTCTTATGCCTCAACCCACTTTTTGAGTGGGCCGCCCAGCCAAATCTACCTGCTGCTTTATGCAAGAAAATTTTTCAGTAATGCCGCTTATAGTAGTACCACGGTACAGGCCTAAGTATTAGCCCTCGAGGGTGCTTTGAAAGTTTAGTTTCCACTTTAAACCCCCTGTTTTCCATACCCTCGAGGGGTAATACTTACGCCTGCGACGTAGTACTTATACTAAAATGCTTTTTTGAAGTTCTCGATTATAATTTTGAAGCTATTTACATTTACAATTAAAAAAAAAAAATTCATAGAAATAAGTGAATATAATTCTATCGCTTAGCGCGGTTGTACATTGGACACACTTTATTCTTGAGATTGTGTCTAGTTCTATCACAATTACTACAAGAATATAGCTTTGCCGGCCTTTGTAGTATAATATTGGTCTTTTTTATTTTTATTTTTGTTGCTTTTAATTTGATTTTTAATTTAAAAAGAGGCGCAATGCAAGTCTCATCTATCTAATCTAGAATAATATCGTCGATCTTGATTGTACGCATGTATTTATTGATAATAATTAATTCATCTCCTTCTCTTATCTTTTCTCTTTTAATGACGCGATATTAGCTCTTATTAACTATATAAAAAGGCTTTTACATACTATCAATTTATTCTTAATTTTTTTGTTGCGCAAATCGAATTGCAATAATAGCGTAGCTGCAAAGTAATCGCTACTTTTCAAACTATCCGTAAAAGCAATAGAAATCTTAATAACGGACGGTATGAATACGCTCTCCGACGCCATCGTATAAGCAGCGAATCCGTGCTTCTAACACTTACGTAGTATCTCTGTCATTGTGCGCAGTGATTAATGCTTGTTAAGCGCTTTTGCGAAACCAAAGAGTATTGGCTATAAAGCAGCGAGTAGATTTGGCTGGGCGGCCCACTCAAAAAGTGAGTTGAGGCATAGGAAATACAACTCCACTTTCTTCGAGGCATAGGAAATAATCGACCAAGATTATCTATCCACAAGCCTTGGTGTCCTCGATATATCTACGGAGTAAAGGTGTCCCCGATGCTAAATCAAAGCCCATAAAAAGCTCTCCACTCCTCGACAGATCCATCATCAGATGCCAGGTGCTCAATAACTCCAGGAGAGAGATGCATCGTTTAGGGTTTGGCTCTGACAGAAGCCTCGTGATGGCAGCAGATATTTCTTAATCGTACTTCCTGCCTCTGACTAGTACTCCGACCAGGGGTACGATTATTGATAGATACTTCTCCATGTAACCATCTTTCATAACAAAATCGCCCAGAGCAATATACCGACGAGTTAGCTTCGGCAGTTCGCTTATCTAGGGAATATGCACGGCTATGATTGAGCATCAGCAAATTTTCTGATAAGATTACGATAGCCGCACGAAACTGAGCACAGGCTTGCGAGGTACCTAGCTGCTTCAACCACGTTGATGCAGATAGGGAAAGATGAAAGTGAACCCAGGAGAAGATCACCCGCAATATGTGTGGAGGATGATGCGTTTCCAGAGCTCGGTTGCCTGTGATGCGATCTTGAGACAAAACGTATAACCAGCACTACCTCGTTATCCGAGGCGAACTCTAAATGACCTGGACATAGTAGGTGGGTAGGTGTACCGGTACATCGACTATCTTCCGTTCCTCGATCAACTCCTTCGTCCTTCAATGCGGATGGGCCGCTGCATGATGCAACAAGTTACCCGCAATTGATCCCACAGGCCTGAAGGAGAACTTTGCGACGGGGCGGACCCGAATATCTTGCTCATAAGGTCGCTTCATGGCCAATGAGCAGCCAACCCAGTATTGGAATGTACCGGTAACCTTCCCGTCCCCGTTGCAGGAACGAGCCCTGTCGACTGACTGCGTTGGCCTTGAGAGCTTTTCGTTAGCTTTGCCTCTTGCATCCTTCTTCAATTCGTATGCTTCATCTGACTGACGCGTGGTTTTGAGTCCATTTGAGGCTGAACACGCGATACAATGGCATACTCATCAACAACTCAGCTGCTACTTAATCTAGGCGTACTTGGAAAAAATTAGAGCAGTCTCCTTTCCAGCTCGAAAGTATTCAGACAGCTGCTTTCATATCGCCCGCGAGTGACGCAACGATGGACGGACTGGACATGGGAATGACGATGCCTACCGCGGTAGCCTCGTCGATAACTCCGAGTGGGATGGTACAGGCCACTAGCACTGCTGCAGAGACTGTTGCGACGGCGCTGGGAACGATGTCAATGGGAGGTGGAAATGGTTGCAAGCTTTCCGTAAGTGTCTCGCCACATTTTCAGTAATTCGTCTGGCTAATCGGAGAAGATGCTGCTTAACTGGCACACCATAGATGCTTGTTTCCTATCCTCCATATTCCACATCCGCTCTAGCTTCACGTTCTTCCTCGCATGTCTCGGTGCTTTCACCCTCGTCGTCTCTTTGGAGTTCGTACGCCGAATTCAGAGACAGTTTGATCAGTACCTGCAGAAGCGGAATAATTTTTTTCGAACAAAGCAATATGTTCTGCCTGCAGAAATGGAAGAGAAGCTTTTGGACCCGGGTGACGACCACGGCTTCAAAGACGAGCCAAAGCAGAAGGCAATGGTGGTTATACTGGACCAACTATTGAGGGGGTTGATTCACGTCGTACAGTTCTCTATTAGCTATTGTATAATGCTGCTGTTCATGTACAGCAATGGTACGTACCTTTCGATCTCATGCCCCACAGAAACAGGACCTTTGACCATGCAGTTGAAGTTTCTGTGAAGCGGCGAAAGTTGGACGCATAGCAAAGACCACCTCGTTAACCATTTGCAGGATTCATCATCATATCGATATTGGTGGGTGCATTGGTAGGATTTGCCCTTTTCACTCGCGATACCTTGTATCCGAGTCGGGATTTTGTGTAAGTAATCCTCCTCGACATCAATTTTCCGACTAACACTGCGGCAGTCAACTTGACGGAGCGGATAAGAGTTGTTGCTGAGGGGCACTTGTTGCAGATATCGGGACCAGAATGAATCATGAAGCGATGCCGTTTGAGACAGAGCGGCATGGAGAATGACCGTCAATCGTGGCTTGTACACACATAAAGCCCTTTTGGCTGGTCCTCGTCGAACGTAGCCAAGGCTGCTTACCAGCTCCTACAGAGCAATCATATGGCATGTGCTGGTTTGACCGAATTGATTTCATGACGCATGACATACGCATCGAATTGGTGCCCTGTGATCCTACAAAATCGATATCAACGCCTTTCTCGTTATGCTTTCCCAATGTCGCTAAATTCAAAGTCGTAAAACTTGATGTGTGAGGCTTCCAATTGATGATTGATCAGGAGCCCGACCCCTCGCCGTTCGCGACGCCATTCGTGCCAGGCTCGCCACTGCCCAAACCGTTGATGACATTCACGCTGGAATTCCCGCCGAATTTCGCTATCCGTTCGGCCTCTTTCCTCTCGGCTGCAGCCTCAGTCTCTAGTCGAAGTTTTTCGAAGTCGTCTTCTCCCCCGTCTCCGTCTTCTTCGTCGTCCTCATCACCGCTGGCCTCCCAGTCTCCCTTCTCGAACATTGCACGACCAGTGGCTTCCTTGGCGGCTTGTGCTTCAATCTCTGCAGCCTTCTTATCAAGTCGTTCCCTCTTCCACTTTGCGAAAGTCTCAGGCGTGACAGGCGTAAGGGTACCAGTGAGCTTGTGGCGTTCGGATTCAAGGAAATCTTCGAGAGTGAGAGTTTTAAGAGGCGATTTGTCCATGAGTGCTTTCTCTGCGGCACGCTGTTCTTTTGTTTTGAGTACGAAGCTGGGGAATAGTCAGTCAAATGCCAATAATCGCTCAACACGATAACATACCCAGGCGGTAATTTGTGCTGGTACATGCATGTATCCCCTCCGTTCGGACAAGTCCAGAACCAACCATATTTGCCCTCTTCCACTGCATCGATGAAGAATTTGCAAACTTTATCGGTGGTTGTCTTCTGATTTCCCTTCTTGGAGAGAACAACCTGTCTCAATTTCTCCTCGTCCCAATTGTCGGAGGTTTCTTTCTTTTTCTTTTCTTCCTCATCCTCCCGAGTATCTTGGTATAGATCCTTCTTAACAGATTTTCGTTCGACATTGAGATCGTGTGAGAACTTGCACTTTCTTCCCTTCTCGCAATGGCCCTTCTTGAAGAACTGACACAAGACTGTTTTCGGATCGACACCGAAAGGGACCTTTTGAACCTGTACGGGTTTAAATAGCTCTGCCTCCTCCTTCTGAGCCTTCTCAGTCGCAGCCTTCATGCGCTCTCTCTCGGCCTTCTCGGCGGCTCTCTTCTTTTCCTCGGGAGTTCCACCAGCGCTCGCAGATTGTTTCATGCGAGCAATATCCTTCTGTGCCTGGGCGCCCTTCTTGTTCTTCATACCAAAGGTCCTGTCCTCCACGATTTTGGCCGCGGACGGCTTCTTGCCCCCGCCCTGCTTTTCCTGCTTCTTGGGCGGCATCTTGTGAGGTGCGTGTTGTTATCGAGCGAGAAGGAAAATTTGGGGGGCGTTTAGAATTTCAACGTGGGATTCGCTTTTGCGTTAAATAATAGTTGGAGAAAAGACTGTGGGTGAGTTTTGAGATGCTCGAGGGGCTTCTAATGGAAAGGTTTGAATCACCCCCCAACCAAAACCAAGACATTTGCCCTCTTGTATCTCCGGCTGTGGGTGGTGGGCAACCGAGACGCTAGACCAGCAGGGGTTTCTGGTGGAGCTTTACAAGCTGGCCTGATAGAGTATCAGACGGTGCAAAACAAAGAGAGCACTGCCAGAGTGACCAAGTTCGGGAGATACCTTAACCAAGCTTCACCGGTGGCAACGGTTTATGTAGGTCCTCGATCTATATGCATGCGGGAGCTACTGGACCTGCGCCGATACAATCGAGGTTTCCCTATGCTAATTCCTTTGGCAGCTTCACCAGCAAACACGTAGTCCAGAACCTTACGTGGCTTCCACCGAAACGAATTTCGCAACCTCTACAGGATTGAAGCAGGCAGAGGAATCGACCCGCATTCAAAATGATATCCGACAACGATCTCTACCGTCTAGCTATCTTTCTCGGGTCAGCAGCTATTCTCCTCATCATCCTCTACCACTTCCTCGAGGTCAATGCCGTCGAAGAGCCAGAGGTGGACAGCAAAGGCAAACCCCTATCTGTCGCAGATTTCAAAGCCGCGGCATCGATAGAAAGATGAATTGAAGGGAGCTGGTCGGGTTGTCGAAGAGATTCGGAGGTTTAAGGACAGGGGCGGAGGGCGAGGAGCGGGGGGCGAGGATGCCTTGTATTGCTGTATTGAGAGTATCATACATGGCATTATGGAGAAAACCTCGAGTTGATGTACCAAAGAGGCATAGGAATTCACTCGAAAGCTGTTCCGCAAGACGAAGGCGACGGTACAGATCTGGATGTGAGAACGTTGGAGGCATGCTCACTTAAACCATATCGAGCCCTAGAATATAGGTTCAACGCAGGTTAGAAGTGAAACCTTTACCCATAAAATTGTGTGCTCAGATTCTACGATAGACCGATCAGGGCGAGATCATCGCAATCATGGAATTTGGGTAGGATTCCAGGAGATGCTAGGTAGGATGCTAGCAGATCTGGCCTTAATGGATAGTCAAGACCAATTCAAGAACTTGACTCGTGAATCATACCGTATATGCCCATTTGTTGAAAAAGATCTCGTTCTTACTACCTCATTATTCTCAACTGAATAATCCTCTCCCGCCCAGGACCAGCGACAGGTAACTCCACCAAAACTGAGCCCGTCGCACAAGGCTGAGGGCAGAGCACATGACTCATCCTGAAGCGGGCGCGCTAATTTCTAGCGTGACATAAGTCGCGCCGTCTCTCTGTCTTCGTTTTTCTTCCTCCTTCTCCTTCATCCCCCGTCGACCATCATCCATCAACAACTACAAACAAATTCTTTTCTCTAACTTTCTCGTTCTCTCGAGTTCTAGAGCTCAGAATAATCTTGCGCGCGCATCCAACTTCGACCGCCGCACCTCTCCTGCCACCTTTCGTCGCGATACAGCCTCTTCCACTCACAAAAGGCAAACCGCGATCTAAACCAGCCAAGCCAAAACACGGCAAGAGTCAGCCAGCCTTCCCATCCATTCCGCATCGACTCGATCGACCTGCCATCGATCAATAATCTGTCTCACGCGACTGATCCTAACGGTTCGATTTCAGCCAGCTCCTCACCTTTGCACCCCATAACCATCATCAAAACCCCATACCCATCATCAAGATGTCTGGAAAGCTCGACAAGTCTCTCGATGAGATCCTCACCACCACTCGCCCAACCAACGGTCGTAAATTACGTCGCGGTACCGTGCGTCGCTCTGGTCCAGCTGGAAAGGCTGCCCCTATTGCACCAGCTGGTGGTATCAAGAAGAACCCTCGCACTACCCGAGGTGGAGCCAAGCCTATCCCCACTGGACCTTCTGGAAACGGTGAAGGCAAGATTCAAGTCAGCGGATTCGTAAGTCTAAAAACTTGCATCCGGAAACGTAAACTTGCTAACCTCGTACAAGCCCAAGGATATCACCGAGGCCATGATCAAGGTATGTTACCGATGAGGCTGTCCCAAGTCTTTCGACGTTCGTCGAAAAATTCCATCCACACCGAAAATATAAACCACGACCTGTCACGATATCCTTTTTTACGATGTTCATCATCCAGTACTTCTGGGGGGCTTCATCAAGACCGACTCCTGCATTCTTCTGCTCCTTGCGATATACCTTGAAGCAGTTGCAAAGTCAGTTGAGCCGCGTCTTAGTTTTGCACAAAGCCTCAGATATCGTGGTAGCCTGGCAAGCACCCATATCGTATCGAGGCGCAGACATGATGACGCGTAGTTTCTCGAAAGACGTTAAGTCTTGAAACTTGCGAGAGGGCTTCAGAGAACACGGTCAGCAAGCTACAGCGAGCGAGTGAGCGCAGCAGTCGAGCAAGCAGTACAGCATAGCACTCAGTATTTCTCGTCTCAGCAAGTCCCGAAAGTTTTCAGGAAGGCTACCTCAGCTGGGCTCTTGTGTGGTCCTGAATATATAGTATTCAGCGTTTTATCCGTTTGGTGATGACTATGGTTCCCGGAGAGGCTGGCAGCTGGCGGCTGGAGGGCGAAGTTCCTGCTCTGGATGACGAAATTGGGTTTTTTTATATCATGGGTTGGGAATGAGGCACATGGGTATTCATTTACGACTACCCCGAGGACCGATGCCGGACGATCTCCATTGAGAACGCGGATGGACCCTCGAAGTATCAATTTTCCCGACTCTGAACTGGAATCTGGACACTTGACGTGCTGACGTTACTACTGACGCTCGCTGCTCGCTCGCTGTCTCTTACTTTGCTCTTTGGCCGGGCGTTGGAGACGATCTTGGATTATCGGACCTTTTCTTTTCATTCCAGGTCGACGTCGAAGTGCACCTTTGGGCGATTCCACATGAGATATGCGATACCCAGATAACTAACCACATCTTGGACAAATAGGAATACTTCGCCAAGACCGTCGGAGCTGTCAAGAGAGTCGACCTTTCATATGGACCCAGAGGAGAGAGCAGAGGTGTCGCCGATATCACATTCGTTCGCTCCGATAGTGCTACTAGGGCTGTCGAGTCTTGCAACAACATCCCCGTTGACGGCAAGCCTATTAAGGTAAGCAAACTCATATCTCTTGAGCCATACAATCGTAACTGACCTATGTGCAGGTCTCGCTGATCCTCGATGCCAACCGCGCCAAGTCTATCCCGGCACCAAAGGGCCTCAGCGAGCGTATTACGTAAGTTATTTGCCCTGCAATTTCCATGCACGATGTCTAACGCTCTCAACAGACTGCCGAAATCCCAGCCCAAGTCAGCCGCAGCAACCAAGACCGCCGCCCCTGCTACTCGTGGAGCCAAGACCCGTGGCCGGGGAGGACGCGGTGGTGGTGCCCGAGGCACTCGCCCAGCCAAGAAGACCGCCGAGGAGCTCGACTCTGAGATGGTTGACTATTGGCAAACCGGTGCTACCGCTACCGAGGGTGCTGTTGCTGGAACTGCCCAAGCCGCAAACGGAGATGCTAACATGGATGACGAGATCATGGTACGACTTACATCTGTGCTCGCGGGAACGATACACTAACCCTCCGTAGTAAATATGTTCTTCTTCACCGAGACCTCAGTATACTTGTTACAAGTCGGACATGCTCTTACGCCTTTGGAGGCAAAAAAGACATCCCCTCTTTCAAATACTGAGCACGTCCCGGAGTGTATTATTTGTTTGCTTCAAGTACCTGGTATCGATCAGGGGGCTTTCATCAACGAAGGGGCAGGGAATGGGATCACAATATTGCGATGAGGCGTCCGCTACACTGCGGCTAAATTGGGTTTCCTTCATCTTTGTATCGCAGGTATCGCGAGTCACGGCGTTTTCTATTTTCAAATGAAAACATTCGATTTAGAACCAAGAGTGCGAATTTTTGAGCCCGGCCTTAATCCCTGGGAGATGCACTTTGCGAATTTTACTTGACCCGCGTCCTCGACAAAGCTGCTGGTGAAAAAAATTCTTATCTTGCCGCTCTTCCATTATCTTTTGTGCTCTGATACCTACTTGAACACTACGATGCTCCCATCACGCAAACTAAGCACTCCCAGTGAATTTTCAGAGCCAACATCGTTACCTAATAGTCTTCCATTCATTAGCGCCACAAAACACAAATGCTGGTGGCTGCCGATTCGCCTGTGCCTGTGGAATCAGATAAAATCTCTCTCTCCTTCTGACTCTTCCCCTGGCATCCGGAGATAGTGTTTCTCGAAGGATCCTGACGGCTGTATGGCTGGTGGGCGCCAAGGATATACGTACGCACAGGTGATGGGCTCAAGTGATACCTAGCACCTTTCTTGAAGCAAGTCGCGCGGTATTGCAACGAGCAGAGATTTCAATGCCGCTTTGGTGATATTACACTTCCAGGATAAATTCTGATATTTCCCTCAGTTCTAGTTTTGATCATCCGTAATGTACTAGGGATGTGTCTCCCGATTCTACGAGGAGAAGTGGATCTTCAAGTCGATATCCATGGTAATGCTGCCTCGACCATGACCAAGAGACCAGAGTAGGCAGCCTCGTTCCTTGCCACCTTTCCTCTATGGCATCGAGCGGTCCAAGAGCTCTAAATAGCACATCGTGGGATGTATTAGTCATTAGGTACCTCGTTCGGAAACAGCTCTCACGCAATTAGCATCTCTGGCTTTCTAACTGTCCAAGTTGGATGTATTTTCTTCTGAGCCTCCTCAATGCGGGTAGCATCAAGGTGACAAGCTTTGAGGAGCGCCTGACTTATGAAGTAAGGATTTTACGTAGTATGAAGTGCGAAGGTGCTTTGGCCTTCTCACTTCACCCAGCCGAGTTAATTCAACTTGGCTAACGGCTGGGTTAATCCTACAAGCAACTAATTGAGCTAACTATCGAAACGGGATTCCACAGGTTCGATTAACTTGGTTAGTCATCTTGAACGAGTTCGATATAAAACTCTTTGGCTTGCGCTCCGAGGAGAGAGAGAAGTGAAGAATTTCTTCGCTGGGAGTATGAGTACGGTATATACTGCGAGTATATAAATAAAAAATATACGACCCCGAAGACGATAGCATCAGATCGAAAGCGGTCAACAGCTATGATGTAACATACGATCACCAAAGCGTAGGATACGATATACATCCCTATATATCGATTCAAAGGCCGGGGCACGAAATTAACTTCGAAGCACAGGGGAACTGAGCTAAATATAGTATCCGTAGATTCAGATTACGGCTTAATCGTCGGTTACCTTTAATCTAATTTATGAAAAACTCCGGCTCGGCACCACCGACCCGGGACACTTTCATTAAAACACGTATTAAATTACAACTACTAATGTAAGCATAAAGAAAGATCTGAATGCTCAGAAAACATTGCTATACTTTTTTGTATCATAGATATACAGATGCATCTATTTGCTGCAAGTCAAAACGTTATAATCTAATAAGAATATTGCCAAAAACTGTCATCAGTAATGAGATTTTACTTCTCCACCTCGAATATCTTAACAACCACAACTCCGATTAGAAAAAACGCCCCGAATACCGATAGGAAACGTTTAAATCTATCATATCGTAAATGAAATGATTAACGAATGGAAGTTGGTGGTGCAGAACATGTATTTATAGTGGATTTTAATGGAAGTCCGATTTCCGTGTTCCTCGCTTATTCAGTATTTATACGGCAATTCTGACATATACGGAGTAGGTAAGTACGCATAGTGAAACAGTACCCAATCAGTAATTATCGTAACTCATCGTACCTTCGCTCCATTTGCGTGTTTTCTTATGCATGATAGCGACTTATTCGGTACGGATACCCCACCATGAATACATGTCGAAAGTACCTCTGTATAATTTTGCAAGGGATCTTGCCAGGGCTTACACCAATCAACTTATAAGAATTCAGCCTTGAAAACTATCTTTAGGTCAGTATTCAGTCTGTTCTGTTGAGTTGACAGTGCTTTGAGTCATTCATAAACCACCGCTCTACGATTTATGGGGCTAAACTGGAGCGGTAATATCGATTACTCGTACTCGCGAGATTGTAATGAGGTTGAGAATTTGGGCATAGCAAGCTTTGTCAGCACACGGACTCATGCTGTGAGAAATGTATACTAAAAGTACTTTTTTTGCTACTTTAATACAGCATAATAATGAAACAATAACATGTAATTAAATTTGCTCTAAACGATTGTCATTAAACTCAATACTGTGCGTCTTTCAATGCAAAGATAGGTACCATATGATGGGTGGTCGATTTTATATCGTTTTACAAGGGCAGAAGTGGGTCTCCCGGGTCGATGCCAGGTCGGACTTTTTTACAAATTGAATTCAAGGCAATCGACGATTAGCGACGATTAGCGCTGATTCTAGAGTTCAAATAACTCAGTGAGTCAACTTGCCTGCGATACCCCTCTGATGTATATAGCACTTAGGTCTCCCCCTTCTATCATAGAGGGTGTATAAACCACCGAGGGAAGGTAGGTAGGTAGGTGTCTTGGCTCCCGCTTTGGTGATGAGTAGAATGTGAACAAGAAGGCTGGAAGCCCCGATTCTTACGGTGTATTTGCTGACTCCTGGTCTGGTTTCTACTTCTTGCTATACGGAATTAAAAGGGACTACACATTCGTTTCTGTCGATTATCTTCGTCTACACATTCTTTCCACAGGCTTGCTCGTCCCCTTGGCCATCTCCATTCATCTTCTCAAGTCTCTATTTCTCCTCGAAGCTCGCTGCTTCCCATCCATCTCCCGAAGCCAACACCAAGTCGGCAAGATGCTCCCCTCCTTCTGCACTTCCCTCGCCCTCCTCCACCTCCTCCCCCTGACCCTCTCCTCCCCCCTCTTAAACGCATCTTCCAAACCCACCCCCGTCACCTCACATCTCGCATAGCGAGGAACCGACATCCACAACTTCCTCTCCATCCTACTCTCCAAATTCCCCGTTCTAGGCCTACCCATCACAGCCGCCACTAGCGTCATCGAAGCCTCCTCGTCCTTCATCGCGCGCACCACCGGCATGACGTACAACCACTTCGCCTCTGCCGGCAACTCCTGTACGGCGCACACCGTCATCTTCGCCCGAGGGACAGCCGAGCCCGGCAACGTGGGCATTCTCGTCGGGCCCCCGTTCTTCGCCGCATTGGAGGCGCGGCTCGGGCCGGGCCAGTTCTCGGTCCAGGGAGTGAATACGTATCCGGCTAGCGTGGAGGGGTTCCTGGCTGGCGGTGATGCGAGGGGGAGTATAGAGATGTAGTTTTTATTTCTTCTTCTTTTCATGGTCTTCTCTTTTCTGGGTGTGTTTTTGGGGGGGATTGGATTTGAGGGCAAGAATGGTTCTGACGGACTGACTAATTCACTGATTGCAGGGCGGTACAAATCTTTGATGCCTTTTTGAGTTGTCCGGAAACTAAGCTTGTTGTGGCAGGATACTCGCAGGGCGGGCAGCTCGTGCATAACGCGTTAGCAGCTCTGCCTGCGGAGGTGGCGGCGTGGATTTCGAAAGTGGTGCTTTTCGGGGCTCCGAGTACGTTCTCTTCTCCAATAATGATGCTTCCTCGTTTCTCTCTGTTGAGCTGTATAGTTTTTGTCTGATACGTTGTCGCATGCTTGCTTGCTGACCTCGAGATGTGGATACGGCGACGGCGATAGCGAATATTCCGCCGGACAAGGTGTGGAAGTCCTGTCATCCGGCAGACGATATCTGCGATGGTGGAATGCTGGTTTTGCCGTGGCATGTCACGTATGGGTTGGATGCCAAGGATGCTGCGGAGTTTGTCGTTTCTTGATTTCTTTGGTAGTAGAAACTAAGAGTTGATAGTTAATTCGGATCAGATCAACTGCTTATGCGTACTTAGCTGACAGCTTGACAACCCGCCCATATCTCTTCCTCATGCCCTCCGGCCTGAATAGGCTACCGTCTTCTAATAACAGCTTCCCGGATTATTTCTCCTTCAGATGCGCGTTGCTCGAAGCTTCAAACACTCTATTCCGCGTCGTACCATCTTCCCATCACTGCTCTTTTCATTCTCGTGCGGAAGCGTGACATTGAAAGGCCCGGGCTCTCGGGTGCAAAAGTTGTCCTTCCCAGGTAGAGCGCCGGTCAGGAATTACGCGCCTATCTTGGCGAAGGCACAATGGTTCTTGGGACCGATGGGCATGTGCTTTATGATCCAATTAACTTTCCATGTTTGATGTACTGGGAAGGGATGAGAGCTTACACCGATACCATCGATTGTGAAGAATTGAGCTCCTTTGAACTTCATGACAAACTTACGGCCGCTGCAGGCTCGTTATCTGGATTGAAGAGGAATAAGGAGGAGGGGGGAGACACTTGCGTAGTAGTAGGTGTAGCTGGATCCAGTGTATTGCTCACGAAGAGAATTGGATTGGTCGTCACTCCACTGCATGGACCTAAATACCCTTTTCCCTTTGATCAGCCTTTCACAAGTCAGTAAACCTTTCCGAGCAATTTTCAAAGGAATCGGAACGCATCAGGAACACATCAACCAGCATTTCTGCGGCGATACAGCTCTGCTGCTCCATGGCTTGTATAAGAGAGTTTGGCAAATACAACCTGAGGTTTTTCTGCTCAAGGAAGAATCAAGGCTGAGGCCTTAATATATAGGCCAAGCGCGAGAAAGAAATGACATGAAAACACACTATTGTGTTGATACATGATCATATACAAGGAGCAGCAAATCTTGAAATCGGTTGCGTCTATAACATATGATGAACATATTCGATTTCCCTGATTAAATGGGGTTGAGGGAAGAAGAGATTCAAGAGATATCCGTTGCGACTTATGCAGCTATGTGACAGGCCTCTAAACCATTCAAATAAGAAAGAGGGCGTATTTCCATGCGCTGCTCAGCCGCATGTAAGACGGTAAAACCGAACAACCAATGCAAAGGGCGGCACCGTACAACCGATGCCCTGCTACGCTTCAGACGAGAGAGCCACTCATAGAAGATAGCCACATGTGACCAGGCGGTCAGCGAGACTCTTTGTGTAGCATCAACTTCGATATAACCACGAGGCCGAGCTTCCTCATTTTGAAAGCTGTGTATGCCGGAGAATTTAGCCCTTTGGTGTCTGAACCGGACAACGGGGTTGCGAGCTGCATCATGTGCACCAAGAGCTCTTCTTCTGGCGAGCCCAGGTCACGAGGTACGAGATCACGGGATCCCATTCCTTGAGTCGGGCTAAACTTATGGCAGCTCTCATCTTTCGGTGGAGTCCTGAATTCGGATTCGTGTTCGATTAATCGAAGAGAAGGAAGAATCAAAGATTTACAATCGCAACTTTAGGGGCGACTCTACTCGAAGCGAGGTTTGCTGACTCAGCAACAGACGACTGGAGTCGTGGGCGACTGCATCAGTCCTATCGGTGTTCATGGCAGATTGTTCTATTACATATTACATTGAAATATCAGAGACGACAGGTTTTCATCCGCACTTTGATATAAAATAACGACGAAACAGGCTGCCACTGGGTATCTGTGGTCCCAATTCTGTTGTCTTCCCTAAGAGGCCACATCTGTGCTTGATCCTCGTTGTTCAAAACCATCATGGCACAATTGAATTATTTACGAAAATTGTTTGGATCAGTAGATCGTTGGCCCTGGGTAAGATCTTACAATCTATCTCTCATCAGCCAAAAAGGCATGGTCGTTGACTGGTTCCAGGGATATCAAACAAGGTTGGGTACTAGCTTGGCTCTCGATTCGGTTATTCCAGCTGACAAGAGTCTTTTCGATACCTCTGTGATATCTCTTGTTTATCAAAACAAAATTTTATTGAAAAGATCTCCTTTGAGGTCGCTGCTCTTGCATCCTTTGATCCTTGATCTTGCTACAGGCTCTGTGTTCTGATCTTGAGAGCTTCTGGATATTGCTCTGAAGGGACAGTATGTACCTGATTTTGAAATTAGCAGCTCGATATGTTTACACCAATACGTATGGTACGATTTGTAGTGAAACTGAATCTATCGGGCCTTCAAAGTTCCAAACACGCCCCACACCTCTTTCGTTATTGAGGAGCCTGCTACTGCGATACTCTTCAACCTCTTCAACCTCCTCAACCTCCTCAACCTCCCACACACCTCAACTACCTCGGCCAATCTTGATTCAATCTCTACTCTTGAACCCTACCAATCGACCGCCAGGTCTCTTTAATTCCTGCAGATTCCGCCACGAGACTTGGAAATATCCATACTCAGCCTGGGGAACTAGCGACCGATGGGAGCTTATAGATACGCCACTGCTTCATCTGATTCACTGGACATCGTCTTCCAACCTTTGACAACCTTTTTACTGGTACAAAAACCAACGTCTCATCACTTCGGCCTTGATAAAGCAGAAGCATCCTTGGATACTTGTCTACAGCTCTTTTCCGAGTGACTCCTTCAATCCTCAGCCAAGATTAATTCGAAGGCAGCAGAAGCTCGCCTTGCGCCATGCCTCCTGTAAGTCATCAACACGCACCTGCCATCGGAAGTATATTCAGCTTTCGCTACATCCCAAAACTTCCTACAAGACTCTGTACTAACCCACTCTTCAGAAGGTCGAGATCAGATTGAACACTCCAAAGACAGGTACGCCACCCACCGCTTTTCACAGCACTCTCCTATTCTTCCTCGAACTATTCTGTTTTGGCTCTTCATATGGCCATTATTTTATCTCACAGTCTGTAAGATTGAAAATATATCACACGGTCATCACATCATCTCAAGTTTCTGCGTCTTTGAGCTTTTGATAACACTCATCCTTCCGTCAAGCGATAGTTCTGAGACCAGTACCTAGTAGCGTTGTTGATGCTCACCTTTGCCCTCCTGTTCTTTGGTGTCTGAAGACCCCAGTTATAAACCGCCTCCCTAAAAATTTTTCCCTCTCTCTTTCCTTTTTATATTTTTTATTTCTTTATTTTTTTATTCCGCTTGTAATACTGTCTTCAACAATAAATTTCAGCTCAGCATTCCCTGCTTCTCCGTCAGCTTGTGCCCACGACCAAAGTTTGCCACCAGAGTTACTACAACACTCGGCAGCTAACATTCCTGCGATAGCCATGGAGCCACTACCACCCAAAAATCGAGACGAGGTACTGGCGGTTGAAAATAAACCGAGCCCAAAAGTGGCCTCAGCTCTTGATATGCCCACCGAGATAGGAAGTCCCATATCTGATTCTCCAACGCCAGTACTCGAAAATCCGAATGCCTACGAGGTAGATGTTGAGCCAGACAAAATCAGCAATTGCGCATCCAGTCAGCATCATATCAAAGTAGACCCCCATGCTCAAGAAATCAAGATTGAAGATGAACAACACGAGAATTGCGCTATCAAGACTGAAGACATGGACGCCGAGTCGATCATCCACGTCGATGATGATGAAAATCCGAGTAAAGACCAAGCCCCTGCCCTTAAGAAGAAACGAAAACAGGGCCCTAGGAATGTGATGGAGTTCCATCGACAGCAACGACAAGCTAAACTCGCGAAAACAGCAGCTTCTCCTGAGCCCGGTGCCAACAGCACCAATACTAATGAGGACAAGAGAACAATTTTGAATGACCTGCTATGCCATGATGCTACTTCTGCATACAAGTCCGGCCCAGATTTGAACCCTGAGTTCCATATTGCTATTTTGAACAAGCGGGATTTCTTCAAGAGTATCAGGGACAAATGTCCCACAGCTGATTTTGCGAAGACTAACGCCGAGTTGAAGATGCTAGACGACGATGCCAGATCATTTGGATCTCGGCGGATAAGCTTCAAGAACAACATGTGGTTTTTGAAAGGCATGAAGAAAGGTACCCCAAACATCATTGTTCCTTCTATACTCAAATAATGACTGGCTTGCTTCACAGGGATTTATCATCATCAACTGAAAGGGGCGGCCTGGATGGGTAACCGAGAGTGCTCCGAGGATGGACCTTTCGGTGGCATCTTAGCTGATGACATGGTGCGTGTGTATAAAGTGTTTGTTTATGGTCCACTGACAATCTGTCAAGGGTCTAGGTAAAACTATTCAAGCTATCACAGTAAGCCTTCGTTCTGTTGACACCTAGACTTTTTGCTAATAACGTAGGCTATGTCAGGCAATCTCCCAACCAAAGAAAACGTCAGATTGCAGAATAAGTCTACATTAATCATTGCTCCAACGTCTCTGGTAATTATAGCCTGGTTTGCACTTAAAAAACGATTGCTAACTTATCAGGTCCATCAATGGAAAGCAGAGATGGAAGCTTTCTCGAGCTTCCAACGTATCATGATCTATAATCCCAAGGATAGCAATAACGATACACTCAGAACCACCGATAACGATGTTGTCATTGTTTCCTACGACTCAGTACAACGATCTTGGCTTCACCCAACGGAGTCAGAACTCAAGAGGCTGCGTGGTCAAGCGAAGAAAGAAGGAATGTCATTTGAGGATGGGCTAGCTGAATGGCTGGCCGAGATTGACCGCGCAGTTGACCCGATCTACAAGATCGACTGGTTCAGAGTAAGTTCACATGTAAATCTCCTGCGTCGCTTTGTCGCTAACATCTTGTCCTTAGATTGTGCTTGACGAAGCAGTGAGTCCCAGATCTCAAAATTGTAATCGAATCGTAATCTGACTGAAGCCTAAAGCACTACATTAAGAATATGGAATCTAGGACTGCTCGTTCAGTCAATTCTTTGATAGGAAAGTATAGATGGGCATTGTCTGGTGTAAGCGAACTGTGGCACCGGATTTTTGATGTCTTGCTAATATCAATAGACACCAATCATGAATGGATACGAGGGTGGAGTCTTCCCTTCATTGCCTAGCTATGCGGCGACTAACCGTTTCCAGACTTGTACTCGTTGTTCCGCTTCATCAGAGATCCGAAGATTTCGGCATTGAGTTTTTCGCAGTCCGTCATTCTATATCCAGCACGCGGTTTCACCACTGACATTTTCAGATTCAAGAAAAATTACTGCGACACTGATGATGATTGTATTCAGTTGGTCTTCTCATGCATGAAATGTGCTAACCTAGGTACAAGAACATTGAGGCGCTGGGTATGGCCATCTCTAGAGTGACAATGCGGTACGAGCTATCCCAAGAAAACGATAATCAACATCACTGACTTATTTTAGACGCAGCATGAAAGATGAGATACTGGGCAGGAAGCTCGTCCCACTTGGTGAGCCTACCAACATTGTCCAGAAAGTCAAAGCTTCGCCTCCAGAACGCCTTATCCTGAAGTACATCCAAGACAAATTCGACATGTTGAGGAAAGGCAAATATGATCCAGGAGATCCGCGACGAGAGCTTAAAAACATGCTCAATCAAATCACTCGGTCGAGACAGTCAGTCCAGGCAACTCACATCAAATTTTCAATCGCTGACAATCTCAGACTAAACTCCAATCCGGATATTATCGAGGAGCATGTTATGGTACGTAGTCTGACTCAGGCTCCTGTGATGCTTGCTTACCGCTAGACAGGTAATGTTTGAATTAGATGAACTCAAGCAGATGAAAACGGACTTGGATGCCATGCAGTGCACACTGAAGGATTCGGATGATCTTCGTCGGGCTTTAGCGAGAAGTAGGTCGTGGCTGGAAGTCACCGGCAAAGCCCATCACAATTTTGCTGATATATGGATAGGAATCAATGGTTGGATCTCAAGCAAACGAGAGTCGACCCGTTCGGGGAAGCGAATGCTTGCACAAAAGCCGGTGTTGTGCTGCACTTGTAGTCACCGTGAGATAGAAGAGCTCCGAACTATCACTTCTTGCAAGCATGTCCTGTGCGAGTTGTGCCTCTTTGATCAAAATACAATTCAATTAAAGAACGACGTGGAGGTGGGTGCAATGATTTCTCTGGGGGCTCACGCTTATACCGTGTAGGTTTTCACGTGCCCAGTTCTGAATTGTAACCAAACATTCACAACATCGGAGGGAGAGGTTACACCTTGCGACGCAGCAATTATCGCAAACAAGACGCCAGGAAAGAAGACGTCTCTGAAAGGAAGGAAAGCAGTAGATGCTGTGGGCTTCAGACCTATTACGACTTCCTCGCTGAAGTGGCTTCAAAAGTTCGATGATTCAAAGTATCAAATCCTTCCTACGGCAAAATTATCGGGCGTCACGAAGCTTATCCTCGAATGGAGAGTCTACCACCCAAGTGACAAAGTGGTGGTCTTCATACAGTTTACCCACTTCGGTATCATGCTCGGAGGACTACTTCAGAAGAACAAGGTCAAATTTGTCTATACCACGGTAAGTTTGTGTCCAGTATTTACCTAAGTCACATCTAATGAACCGCCAGGGAGGTATGACATCTAAGCAAAGAAGCGCAGCACTGGAAAAGTTCAAAAATGACTCCAACGTCAATGTCATGATCATCGGGTTGAAAATCGGAGGGCAGGGATTGAACCTACAGTTTGCCAACAGAGGCATATTGGTGTAAGCAACAACACACTTCACGACGAGCGACTGCTGACAATTTAAAGCGATCCATATTGGAACAAGTCCATGTAGGCTTTACCTCCTGTTACTGTGTACACAGAAACTAACAAATGGCCCTTCAGAGAGCATCAGGCCGCTGGTAGGATCAACAGAATTGGCCAGGTCAAACCTACATTTCTTGTGAGCTTTGTGATGGAAGGCACCATCGACGAGCGAATACTCGAACGTAAGCATCGGTCAGCCTTGGGCTGTAGTATATAATCTGGCTAACAGCTCTGCAGTACAAAACGAGAAGCAGGAAATGATTGGCAAAGCATACAAGGGTCTTAACGAAACCCAGCAGCTCCGATTACTTGAGGAATACCGTTGGTCACACCTATTGCCTCCTGTCATTCTTACGGTCACTGACCAGCATAGCAGAGAATCGCGATCTTGGCCAAGACAGTGACGACGAAGACGACTTCAGCCATGCCATTCACGCGGAGGGCGATCCCATGGCCGATCTAGGCATTCCAGAAGAGGAATACCAGTCCTGGTTGACGTCCGATGAGGCTGCATGAGCTTGCCGTGTCCGACTCTTATTTATGTATCTGTACATTTCTTCGCGCAGTATGTTGGGTGTACTTGTCTTCCCTCCGCTCCCGCTCCCGACGCTATCAAATCCCATGACTGGCTCTCTCCAGCTTCCCTGATCCAAACTTCTTTTCCGGATCAGGTGTTTCCATCGAAAGAAAACATCTTCGGCGCCGATATCTGCTGCGGGCAGCACCCGCCATGCCCCACCAGCCTGGAAGCATGGTCACTTTCACCGGCAACAGAGACTTCAATGTCTCTGCTCCACTGCAGGACGTCTGGAAGAAGTTCACGCAAATTCGCGCATGCTGAAGATGGATTCGGCAGCACCATTCCACTCATACCAAGCTATCACCCCCACCTCTTTTTTTCCACCTGCACGTCCCGGCTTTAATTAGCAATCGATACAATGAAAACACGTTTGAAAATAGAATAAAATCTTACGGATGTGATCATGTGATCTGGGACATGTGCTATGCTCCCACCGTCTTTGGAGGTCGATCGTTTTAAGCGAGACCAGAGACTTGGAGCTGTCTTCGAGCTTTTCAAGTGATTTAAAATCCAAGCCTTGGCATACCCATGGCCATCAGGAGGAAAGAGTCGCCGTATTTCCAGTAGGCCTTATTGAAGTCTGGGTTAAGCGCAACCTTCCTCAAATCCCCCACTACCACGTCCAAGTTCTTAGTGATTTTGTCCTTACTTTAAAAGTTCACGGGGACCTGTAAGATATCTATTACTAGTGTTTCCACAATACTGAACCACACTTGCATTTCTGAATTCGCCTGTTCCTCCCGGTCGAGTAAGCATTTATAGTGCATGCACGGCTGCAGTCCTATTACCTCGAGGCCCCTCTCATCGCATGGTTTCCTCATAGGCCTTACCATATGAATTTGTTCTTCTGGAGAGGGCAATTGCTCTGTAGATATGCCGCTTTGGTCGCAATTTAGGCAGTCGAGGCCTTCGAAGGAAAATTTCGATACCGGTCAGCCCATGTACTTCGGCTTGACCAAGTTTGTAAAGGAATTCGTGGAACTAGATAGGCTCAACCTAAAGACATTGATGGTGTGGCTCGCTTGTAAGACATCTCGGGTAGCGGTATCGCTTCTGTGCTGTAAGGCTCGAGGTAGGATAAGGAATCGGGGGAAGAACGTGTGAAACATAATTGGAGGACGATGCCCAGGACTAATGAATGCTACCATCTCACATTTGCGACCTACCGAGCGAGCGATTTGAATGTATTCCAAACGCATTTCTGCGTGGTGACGATGGCGGATGTCAGTGAAGAAAGATGCTTGGATGAGGTGACGTTGGGATCGGGTAAGTATCCAGAAAGCGGGTAAAGTTTTGGCCGCTTCGCTAACGAGACCACCTTTTTTTTCGAGACAACCGCCCTCGTGCTTGAGGATCATGTTGGTGCATGGCCAAGACCCGCACTCGTGGCAGACTCTTGGTAAGAAAAGACTGTAAGTAATCATGTCTATCTCTGCTCTCTAGATGACCATTTCAATTTTACCCTTTGCCAAGTCAGAAAGCTTCAATATTTTCATGCTGGGCATCCCACTCGCCCTGATTTACCCCCGCTTAAGTCCAAGAGGCTTTAAATTTTCCCACTCTTATATATACCTACCTACCTACTTTCACCAGCCTCTAAAGCTCTTGAAAGGATTAAGACGTACTCTGTATCGTTTACGAACACGAAAAAGGCAGACGACAATCTTTCCTGACATAAAAATCTACCTACGAAATGGGTTCTACCACACCCCTCACTCCAGAGACATCTCATCTCGAAGGCGTAAACTACCTCTTCGGCCACCCAATCGCCCATTCCCTCTCTCCTCTCCTCCACCAAACAGTCTACGATAACCTTGGACTCAAATGGTCCCAAATCCCACTCGACTCAACAGACGTACCCAATTTCCTCCGCCTGACCAAAGACCCGAAGTTCTACGGCGCTTCTGTCACGATGCCTCACAAAGTGGCCATCATCCCCCACCTGGACGAAATCACGCAAGAAGGCAAAGACATCGGAGCATGCAATACCATCTTCTTCAAGGAAGTGGACGGAAAGCGAGTCATGTGCGGCACCAACACCGACTGTTTTGGAGTCCGAGACGCCTTTCTCCAGAACCTTCCCGCGGGAGCGGGCAGAGACTTGTACCGTGGACGGCCCGGCCTCGTTATCGGAGGTGGAGGTGCTTGTCGTTCGGCTGTGTACGCGTTGCACAAGTGGCTTGGGTGTAGCCAGATCTACGTCGTCAACAGAGACGTCTCCGAGGTCCAAGCGGTGCTTTCCGATTGCAAGAGAGCGGGATTCGGGGACTCCTTGGTCCACGTCAAGACGGTTGAGCAGGCGCAGGCGCTTGCTGCTCCCGGGGCGATCGTGGCGTGCATCCCGAACTTTCCACCCAAGACGCCGGAGGAGATTGAGGCGAGGAGTGTCATCGAGACCTTCCTCGGGAAGGAGGAGAAGGGTGCGATTCTCGAGATGTGCTATCATCCTACGCCTTTCACGGAGATTGCCGAGGTCAGCAAGAATCTGGGATGGCAGGTCATCTTGGGGACGGAGGCGATGATCTACCAGGGATTAGAGCAGGATAGACTGTGGACTGGGAAGGGGCTGGCGGATTTGCCGACTAAACAGGTCCACGCAGCAATTGCAGCGGCCTTGGTAGCTCACCAAAAGCACTGATGGCGGAGATTAACAATTGCATACATGGAAACAACCATGTATATCTCTGCACACAAGTCCCAAGGCCATATATGAATGTGCAATGTTTGAAATCCATGCCAGCCCCCTCCAACTCCTCCTCACAGCTTCGCCTTGGTCTTCAAATGCTCCAAACAATAACCCATCGCAACCTGATACCCGTACGTCCCCAGCCCGCACACGACACCCACCGCCTTATCGCTCAAGCAGCTCCTATTCCTAAACTCCTCCCGCGCATGCACATTGCTGATGTGCACCTCCACAAACGGGATGTCGACCCCCAACAGCGCGTCTCTCAGCGCGATACTATAGTGCGTGAATGCCGCCGGGTTGATCACGATGGCATCTACCCCTTCTGTCCGGGCCTGGTGGATCCGGTCCACCAGCGCCCCTTCCCCGTTCGTCTGGAAAGAGGAGAGGGTGACGCCCGCGGCGGAGGCCTGGGCGCTTGCACGGCATTCGATGTCGGAGAGGGTGTCTGAGCCGTAGATGGTGGGTTCACGGGTGCCCAGGAGGTTGAGATTGGGGCCGTTGAGGAGGAGGATCTTCGAGGCTGGCATCGTTGCGGTCTGGATTGGCTGGACTGAATTGAAGACTGGTGAGTTGTTTGGAAGAAGACTTTGTTTGAGATGTAGGTGAGGAGGAGTCTGGCTTTGATAGGCCTCGGGTCTGGGAGAATGCTAGATGGTGATTTTTGAGACAGATTGATTTTTACTATTTTATTGCTTGCAGCTCTTTCATGACTTGTAGTACGCGTCTAGGCAGCTTGGGGATGCCTCTCGTGGAGGGGAAGGGGTGGTGGGGGAAGAGTTTACGCGGGTCCGGCTGAAGACTTTCGCGAGACCTTTCAGCGGTTTTCTCTCTTCCTTTTTTTTTTTGACGTAACAAAGATGGATGTCTAACACATGATTTCGAATCGGTACATTTTTTGTTCTGTTGTAAACGATTCGCCCGAGGAATATGAAGCACACCCCCTTTTGTTTTCCAAGTCCCAGAAGCGAGAATCATGCCAAGTCCTCCATGTCCAAAACATCAGAGCAAACAACCTTCGAAGCAAACAGTTACTACCGACGTAAGCTTTGTAAAGAAGGGCGCCGAAAGTTCCCACGATCCGGACCTGCAATTGGGATAGATCGAATAAGCGGCCTCGGCCTGAGAGTCCCAGCTCGCGAGTTGCGGAGCAAGCTTCTCTCGTACAACCTGAGGAGAAGAAGATTGGTACGCCACTAGGTGCTAATCCAGGTGTAGGGCAAGCTGCACCAGTGGCATTGTGAAAGAGCCCGGGACATAGGAAAGCAGGAGGAGAACTGGTGTAGCTTGACGAGACCTAACTTGGCGAGAATTGAAGAGCTGCGATATGCACGCGTTGATGAGTGTGAGGGGTTATACTAGTCGTAGCCCTTGGTAGAAGTCATACGTTTTTTGATAGAATGCCTCTGATGGAAGAATGGTAATTTGGATGTTGGTCATCTCCGTAATATGAAGATGTGAGACCCTTGAGTCCTAGGGCTGCTTGCTCCCTGCATGGAATAATGAATCACGCTAGCTTTTCCAACGTCACTGCATCATCAGGCTTCCTTCATTATGATCCAAGACCTCTCACTTCAAGACCCATATCGTCATCATCTTGTTGCTTTCCTAATTAGTGACGATGCCTCATAATTTATTGTGTATAGGCATTGCCAATGGCTCACGATATCTTCAGGAGGATCGGGCTCAGCGTGCGTTCAGTGGACGATCTCTGGGACCAGTACCGTAGCTTTGACATGTTCCTATCCATTCTGTACCTTTGCAATATCCTTGAATATCATATGCCTACTTCGTGTCGGTTGATCGTTTCAACTGCTTGTCGATTCGAATTTACGCAGAGCTTTGTCCTCGCTCTACATATGGCATTCTCCCCTTATAGATTCTGGTGCCAAGCATATGTGCTGAGTGCCCGAGTGGAAGCTTTCACTGAATTGAAATCCCACTGGCGAGACGGGGATAGTCTCCATGTTCCAAGCGCAATAGACGGTTCTCTCTTTTTGGAAATGTCAATGTGTTTTCGTTTTTTATCTGCCGCTTCATCCCTTGGTCAGGTGATGCCAATCGTTAAGGTGTTGCCATTTGGTTGCTTCCGTCAACAGGGAAATGCCCTAACGTAGTTCATTGAAAGGTCCACAGCGCTCTTGTTATCAATAAAATAGCGGTCCCTTGGTTATACATACAGCCAGCCGGGGAGATCGGATGGTTGTGCTTGCTATGTGTGCAGTATGCTTGCTTCAAGTTACGGGTTGAATTGCTGTTCCATGACATCGATACTTCATTAGCAGTACCATCAATACCATTCACCGGCAACTCGGCGCTTAAATGATTGGGTGCTTTTCGGGTGGTCCCCTGGCTTAGTCCGGCACAACTATTTTTTTAAGAGTACATCTAGCACATTGACCAATTTCATCCTAATAAATAAAAGACCACCCTGGTGATCTGGTGATATGAGTCTGAAATGAGGTAACTTCCTTTCCCAACGTTAAAGACCAGCTTACCATCAACAGATGGGGCCAACTGCCTGAAATTCAAGCTACCGTTAGTCCCTCCCTCCGGGTTGAAGGTCAATATACGATGTGCGAATTTCAAAAGTGGTCTCCCAGAAACAATTATTCATTCAAAGTGTGCTTTTATTATACAATTTATTTTGGTTGCAAAATTTTCACTTTTTTTTTTTTTTTTTTGCTCGTTGCTTTTTCCCAGGCAGCTGCTATTTCATCAACCGTCCCGGTCCGGCCACGCCTAGTAGAAATGTAGCAGTTGTGACGACACCCGCTATAAGGTGAGATGATGGGTCACAACTTGCATTTAAAACTCCAGTCGAAGGTTATCACGAGCAATGTTTCAGTAGAAGAAGCTCGCAGCATCGATGCTCAGAAGTCGGGACAAGATTTACATTTGATAGATATACCGAATACTGGATGGAGCGAGAAGGAACATGGGCAGGTTTTGGATACCTTTGCGAGATAGTCGAGAGGTCTGAGTATATCTGATAGGCAAAGAGCGGACGATCAAGCGCCGCCGCTGCCACATGCGTGCGAACCAGCGGCAGGAGAAGTGGAGGAGAGGGAGATACGAGGGGAGGCGATGGTGAGGCTGTAGGCGGAAAGCGCGCGGCGGGTGGAGGGCCAGTTAGCTGGGAGGGGGGAGTTGTTTGAGTGGGAGGAGGTGGGGGATGCATGGCAAAGGGGCCGGGGTTGGGAGGAGGAGGAGGAGGAGGAGGAGGAGAGGGCGCGGGCGGGAGAGGTGGCCGATTCAGTGGATGAGGCGGGCGATGATGAGGAGGAAGGGGAAGGTGGGGAGGTTGATGACGAGGACATGGGGGATGGTGGTGGGCGAGGTGAAGAGGGTGAGGGGAGAAGGGGTGGAAGAGGAGTGGTACTGGGGGACCGGCTGCAATTGCTGTGTCGTAAACCTGTCGACCAATTTCGATATAAATTATTTGTCTGATTACAATAGATCATTTGCTCTGCTCTAACAACCACTTCATGCCCTTAACACAATCTTCCTGGAAGCTTTTAGAAAAGTCCGCCGCAGTCCACCAGCCCCAGAAGCCATGAGGAAGTCCAGGATAGATATCCACGAGAGTTTTCACGCCATTCTCCTTCCTCAGAATCTCCTCATAGATCAATGCCTCGTCACGGAGGGGATCTAGTCCACAAACCTGGAAATAGGTTGGCGGGAGACCTCGATGAGATTTATGAATGATGGGAGTCCGGAGGGGAGACATCCTATCCGGTTTGTAGTGCTCTGCCAAAAAAAAGTCAACACCATGCATTGCTCCTCTTGAGAAGGTAGGCTTACTTTCAAACAGGTCGATAGTATTCTGATTTAGAATCGGAGCATCTTTATTCTGCTCCCTGCTCAGGTACACGGCCTGGTACTTTTCTGGTACGAGCTCCTCCGGTATGCAGGCCGGGATAGAGAGATATGATCCTGTTAGAGGTGGCGAGAGCTTGTCATCTCTGTACAAGAGCGAAAGCACAGCACCGAAGTTTCCCCCGGCGCTGATGCCTCCAACTAAGAATCCCTTCTTGGGATTGCCCCCCAGCTCCTCGAAATGCGCTGCCGTCTGGGTCCTCTTAGCCGGAATGCAATTTTTATCACACTGGGCATGGAATGGTACCTACCCATTTCAGCGCGTCATAGGCGTCCTCGACAGGGACAGGGAACGGGTGCTCGGGAGCAAGCCTGTAATCTACGTTTACGGCAATGCCTCCCAAGCCGGTGAAGCTCCTGCACAGCAACGTCTCGGTCTCCAGCCCGCCGAGCACGAATCCGCCGCCATGGTAGACGACGAAGATCGGGCACCCGTCGACCGGCGGGCGCTTCGGCTTGTGGATGCGGGCGGTGATCGTGCTGCCGTCGCGGACGGGGATCTGGCGGTCTTCCTCTACGTAGCTCGCTTCTTCTCCGGGCACGACGTCTGCTGAAAGCGATTCCTTCTTTCGCGCCAGCAGCATGGCTCGGAGCTTCGGGATATCGGTCGTGCTCGACAGCCTTTCTACGTAGGGGCTCTTTTTGAGGATCTGGCAGATGTTAGCTGGGCTCACACGAAAAATAGAGGGGGGGGGTGAAGGAACCTGCTCCAACTCCGGATTGATCTTTCCAAGAGCGAGGTGCTCTTCTGGTGTCATGATCATCTTGAATTCTTTCTTCTTGATGTTTGCGATTTGCAAAGAAGAAAACTGCCCCTTCGTTTTGGTGGTCTTCCCCGATGTATTTATTTATTATCGTCGTCGTTCCATGGCTGTCACTAGCTTCGGCAGGATTGATTCAGCGGGAGACACCCGTCTCGAATGCGCCGACCGATCGCAAACATGGCCGGAAGCAGAAAGGGCCAGTGCTGGGATGCCGCCGTTGTTCTTGATACGATTGGAGAGGAAGAAAAAATTGAGGCTGATGTGACGTCTGGAGTTGAAACTACCCCTGCATCTCGCTAGTATTACCTCGCTAGTATTACCAATGCGTTGGATTTCAAAGCAGTTTATAGTTAGACGTAAAACAATACTATAATCGATTCGGTATCGATTCGGTATATAACTAGTAGCAATACAGATAGATGCTAACAGATCCGCGAATAAAATTTCAATATCTCGCAGATATTCCACAGATTGCTGACTTATCTGGTCGATACGCAAATATTCAACGCGAATCATAAAGCTCAGTTCTCGTGTTATTACACCAATTCGGAACAAAGGTCCGCGTTCTCGCAACTTTCTTTCTTTCTTTCTTTTCTTAAATATTTTCCTTTTCGATAAAAAATCAAAATTCGAAACTTTTAAACCGAAGTCTTAATTTAAATCATGGCATCATTTTTCCTTTCATTTAATTACATCGTCTTTTCAAAAACTCTAAAGTAGTATCGAAATGTGTATCTTGTTTGCGGGCGAGGGTCTTGGTCGAACAGAAATCGCCATGACGCTGCTCTTCCCGATCCTTTAGTTCTCGGACGCTAACAAACTGTATCTGGCAATCCAGAATCATGGACGTGGACGTATAAGGACCTCGGGTTTTGATACCCAACGATCTTAACCATCGAAGGTCCCGTCTTGAGAACTTCGAGCGAGACCTCTCCTTATCATAACGGTCACGAGCAGCAATATCACAGGTACCGTCGATGGTCTCGCTATAATATTTGGAATGCTAGTTAGCTAGAAACGACTTTCTGGATTCATTTTCTTGTTGTTGTTTCCGAATCCTTAAACAGAATCCGGGAAGAACCTTATCCATTGTTCACTAGAGCTCATCAGAGAGTGGTGGGGCAAAGACTTTTATGGGATGATTGCTAATCGATCTGACTTTCTTCACTTCAACATTTTTCTCTTTCTCTTTCTCTTTGCATTGTGCCATCTGCTTATACGTATCACAAAGTCAAAGAGTTATTTATAACAGTCTTTTTTGTTCTATTCTTTCTTTCAGTCTATCTATCAAGACGATAGTAGGTAAAGAGTTCGGCTCGTCTTCCCCAAAGCCTCATCTCTTCGTCTGTTGAAAAGCTTCACCGAAAAGAAAATACCAACGCGAAAACATCCCATTGCAATTCCAGTGACCAAATTTTCCCTATTCCTTTACAACCAAATTTAGAGCTGAAACTCTGGTCATGACTTAACCATTTTCGATCAAGTGAACCCGGTGTCTCCGGTTTTCAAGAAGGCGATTTCCCGAACGCATGATCTTGTGGGACCTAGCTGTGGTCGTACGTGCAAGGAATCTGATAGAAGAGGTGTAGAAAGGGGGACGTGCTCGGATGTTTCCAGACTCGTGATCATTCCATAGAAGCCTGCTCCATCATATCAACCCCTTTTCCAGATTCATATCCGTATCTCTAGAGACCGGGCGTAGGATAGTAATGATCCCATTCAAGAACTTCATCGTCAGGATCGCTGTCATCCATAAAATCATCATCATCTATGACATCTGGTAGGCCGTTGTCTGGTAGGTTGCTACTATGGTAGACACAGTTCTCAGCATGTGCTGTGTTTCCCTCGGCCATGATGCGCTTGTACGGAGCCAGGCACAAGTAGCAGAACTGGTAAAGGCACACCTTGCCTGCGAGGCGCCGTCGTCAGCTTATTGAATCCTGTGATACAAGTACACCACGGGTGATTAAGGTAGACCTACAAGTCATATGATCACAGCCCCCGTTCTTTTCAATGCGAGCGCCGCACTCTGGATTCCCACACACTTTGGTAGTCTCTGCGATGACTCTGTCGGAAGCTGCTTCCTGTGCCATGCGCTTCTCCCGCTCGTATTCGTAGCCAGCACATGTTTGACCAGAATGCCATGGCATCTTGTGGGTGTAACATGTTTTGAACTGGCAATTGTTGCAAGTCATGATGGGTTGGTCGTGCTCGCCGTCGTGGATCTGGCCGGAGTCGCAACCAGGGCCGAGGCACATGATTAAGCTTGGAAAGTTGCGGAAAACCGACATCAGTGACTTCTTATCGTACCTACAACAAAAATCAATGCTTTGATACGGTAGCCCGAGGGGTATCACATACTGCTCGAATGCCTCAGTCGAAGCCCACTTCTTGACCTCGTCGAAGGGTAGTGGCTCTGGACACACCGGGCACTGGATCTGGTCCCAGGCGACCTGGGGAATTTGCGCGTCGATACTCTGGGCAATGCAATCTGGGCAGACTTTTGGCTCATGAGTGCATACAGATGTTACCGCGGGCAGGTGATCGCTGTGAAATAACTCCATACAGACACAGCATTCTACCCCTGGACACAGACCTCTGGCAATGTCCAATTGACCGCAAGCCAGCTTTCCTGATCCTTTATGGCCGAAGTAGCTCTCAATGACCCCGATCTCTGCTGCTGACAGCCTATTCTGGAGCTTGACGAGGTACTTAAGCATGCAATCCTTGTCAACCCTTCCATAGGGGGGCTCGCTGTAGTAACGGAAAATAGACCTCATCTTTGAGGCTCTATGTTGAGAGCATTTAAGGCCAAATATCTTCTCAGGGAAAGATAGGTACTTCTTGCGGTTACGTATCGGTGCCATGTTGTTGAACTGACGGTGGTCCTTTGAAAGACACCAGTGAAGTTTGCTAATCTGCAATTGAAAAAAGAGTGAGGGGTTTCGACGGGTGAATCCACTGACCTGGAATCAAGTTGGTTGTACAGTGTGATTGTCTGAGAGAAGAAGGACGCCGAAGACGTAAAGGGACGATCGGAGTGTTGCAGTTGAATATGCTCCAGGACTGCTGTGATCGTCTTTGATCTAAGGTTAACCTGTAGCTCGAGAGTAGAAAGGCCCAGGATGTGCTCCTCCGATCTGCAAGTGGATATGATACAGGACTGCTATGATTATCTTTGACCTAAGGTTGACCTGTAGCTCGAGAGTGGAGTTGTGAAATGGGCGATGCTGTGACGAGTCGGGATGGGAGGTAGTTAGTAGTTCTCGGGTTTTTGAAGTGAATTCAAGTCTTTTGCATCAGGCAGTGGGAGGGTATCAACTGGCAGCGTCCCTAAGTTGAAGTTGAACGAACCAACAAATCTCGATCAGGAAAGAGTCTTTGACTTCGGGATTCTCCGAAGTCTGTTCGAGATCCTGGGTATCGTGGGGAGATTCCGCCAATTACCATTCGTTCTTTTAAGTGTCAAGTTTTAGAAGAGACTTGCGTAAACCTAATCATGTATAGAGGTGTCGGTTGCTGGAGGTAGGAAGGTGGTGTAGCTCAGGTCGGTATAGCTAGATGAAGCTGAATGAGTCCACAAGAGCTTCTTTGTCAACAGTTCACCTTCGAGCCATCCATCCAATTCACCTCGGGTTATTCTTGCCTGTAAATACTTAATCCTAGGAGAGAATTTACATCAAACATTCAAGAACCAATTTGAGAAAAGGATATGTATGCCACATCTAGATTCTATACTTGAAGAAGCGTATTTCTTCGAGGCTTCGAGTACCAGAAAAGCAACTCAATCAGCTAAAGCATACTCTTCATTCTTACTCTCGATTGATTTACCATCAATAATGACGAGCGTTAACAGGCTCAATTAATCTAACTGCAGAATAGCAGAGTCAGCACGTCATCTTGGAAGTAAGCGGACAACTCAAGCAGAGAATATTACCACAGACAGAGAATTGGAACCCCAATCTCGACTCTATCACCAAATACCACCATGAAGAGCCACCAGCTGATGCTGCTCAAACTAGGCACCCACATCCGCAGGCCCTGCCTGGAGGGGGCGCTCGACTACCTGCAAGTTCTAGCACACATATACGGCGTCAGTCCAGGCGTACCCATTTCTTAATTTTCAGTTGAGGTACGATCCGGCATTTATTATACCCCATATAATACCTAAGAACCTCTTTCCATATAATTTATTCTTCCGAATTGGCCTCGATGGTCTCCTTTGAGCGGTGGACAACACTTGCAAATATCTTCTGGTCCGGATCGATTTGCCCTTCCGAGCACTCTACTACAATACTTTTCCAACCCCAGAGAAATATATATATGAAGATTAGACGCCCGGCTTATATGCTTTCTTGAAATTTCCCGTTTGCTGACAGCCTTATTGATCAGGCCGGACCGCTCTCGCTAATCATAAAGCGAAGGGAGTGTCAGCACCGGACGGTATACTCTAAATTTTAGTTTATACGCCGTATAATGGAAGCATTGCTGGTATGCATGGTATAATAGTTTGTCATTATGACAGAGTTATAGTTGTGTTTCTGGAAACTGGACAAAGCAAGAGCCTGAAAATTTAAGAAGTGATAAATGAGATAATGTATACGGATCAGTTTTCACATTTAAACACGACAAGGCTCTATCAAAATTCCATGGGTAAGCACCTTGGATAATGCCGAGCTACTGTGTACGATCCACGCAGCTCGGCGTCTATACAGCTACTGGCTTCGACGCTGATACTCCCAGTTACCGACCCCAATTGCCCGATGACCTGATTTCCTAGCCGAATTCCTCAGACCTTTTTTCCAACCCCCCCCCCCCCCCCCCCGGCACATCCTCCAGCTCAAGTCTCAAGCAACCACCTCGCAGAATCCACAAACGCAATGCTGGTACAGGACGCCACTATGGAAGCAGAAATACGTTCCGCACGTGCCTGTTCATCTTAGTTTTCTACGCGGTCGATTTCTCGGCGCATCCGGCTTCGGCTGACGTGAAAACCGGAACGCCTGGGGAGAGAGCCGCAGCAGTACTGACAGGAAACGTGGTTGCATCCTCCTACTTTGTAGACTCGCATCGCGCACCCGGGACAGATCTGCGTTGCGTTGTGCGTTGCCGCCTCCTCCGCGGCGAGTCGGTCTCTCAGCGCCTGCGCCGATTCGGCAGTGGGAGTCGGTGAAGCTGTAGTTGTTGGAGGGGGGCTCTTTGCTGGCGGTGGCCCATAGCCTGTAGGAGAAGCGTTGCTGGAAATTCGTTGCTCGTCCAGGTCCTGGTTCTTGGTCTCGAACACTCCAAGTGCCATCGCAATAAAGAGGCCTATAGACATAGCTGGTGGGAGCCAGAAAACCCAGAGTTTCACGCCATCCAGGCTTCTCAGAAATTGAATGTAGGGCCCGACCTTGTATCTGTCATCTATTTGTCTGTATGCAATGGTAAAGATTACCGAGAAGATGACTAGGCTGATTGCGAGTGGCAGTACTCCGTTGGTGGCCATAGTCGAGTCGACGGTGAATAGTGATGCCTAGCGATTTTCAAGAGAGGTATTTGAAGAGAGAGAGAGATATGGAGAGCTGATACATATTGATGGAGTTGAAGAACTTCCTCTGTATATGTACAGTGCTAATTTCAAGTCACAAAGTCGATGAAACTTCATGCTTTCATTGAAAGGCACCTTTCTTAAAGCTACTCTTTATGATAAGAAAGACTTACACAGTAGCAAGTCAGACACACCATCTCATAGATTCTGGAACGATGAGTCTCAATAAAGCACCGAGATATCTTGAGAATTCAGGACAAAGGATGCGGAATCCATCCAGCTGAGGTTGACCAGTCACCGGAAATTTCAAAAACACCGGACAAGGCACCCAGCGACACTCATTCCTATTTCTTCTCGTAGCCTCCAGAAGATTTCTCCTGCTACCCTTATGTTTTCATGTACGATCTAGAGTTCTCGAAATCTTTCCAGAAACCCGATCGCGGCTTGCTTCGCTTTAGACCTGCTTGTCAAGTGCTAGGGCCCGTTTGGTGTAACGCCGGTTTGTACAAACTGGCCCGATTCGTAAAAACCGAAGGGATGCTCGGCGTTTGGCTTAGACCCAAAATCGATTGTACAAATTAAGTTATATAGTAACCTAATTGTTCAATAAAGCCAATTTTATCTTAATAGCAAATATATACAAGCATTATTCCTTGCAACTCGGGAAATTATCCAAGAATACTCAGGCAGCCGACGCGTAGAGCGAAGCTAGGAAACCACCCCCCATCCCCCACCTCTCCAAAAAAAATCTAGGTCAACATCTTCAAATCAAACCAAACGCTGCTTGAAATATCACCGTTCTCTACAAACCGTACAATGTAAACCATAGTTTCTACAGACGCAATATCTGAAAGAGATTTAAATCCACTACCGAAAATTCAAACGAGCCCTTCCTTAGTCTAGGTATGCACACCCAGCCAGCCCCGATATCAAAAGAACCGTTTCCCCTTTATGACCAAAAAATCTCCGTAATTCTAATCAAGCCAATTCATTCGAACCCTAGTTAATCATGATATGATATAGAACATGGCGAGAAAAAAAAGGAAGGGGTTACTATCAAGAACGAAGATCATCAAGCAGAAGGGTGGGCACAGAAAAAGGGTCACACTTACTCAATTATTCCTAGCTAATCCTTCTCTTCCCTTCCCCTTTGTCTTCAGGCAAAAAATTCAATCTCCTAGGACTGCAAATTTTCTGCAGGAAATAGCTGTGATAATGCTAGCAAGTATCTTACTTCGTGAGTTGCTCTGATAAGCTAAGCCGAGAACGAAGAGGCTTTGGATGTTCAACATCTATGGACGAATTCGCCCAGGGCCATAAGCTTTTTTCCTTTTCACACTCAAGACAACCAACATATCATACTGCACCAGAAATCACCACAGGCAAAATTAGACCCATCATCAAGTATGCACATCTATTTTCCTATGTTCTCATCAAGTGCAGCTTTCTGGTCCAGGATTTGGGGTAAAATACAGGCTTTCCGCCTTCTACTTCCTCGCACCCATCAACCCATCACACCGTTATTCGCATGTGCAGAAGGATCCAAGCACCATCCTATTCTAGTCCATACCAGAAAACGATCACCGTTATTTCGGCCTCGTATTCCGCACAAATGGCCATGTCTTGGTCCCCAGCTCATACGTAGACCTGAAGATATCAGTTCATGCATGGATGATAAATCATGGATGCTGGGTATCTTACGACTTACGGCTGAGGGCGAGTCTCGAAGGCTCGCGGAACAGCCACGGCCGGCACAAGCTTTTTCTTCTTCCCGTCCTTGGAGGCGGCAGTCAGTGGACCCATGACTGGGGGTGGCAGCTTGCTATCGATGTTTGGAGGCTTGGCAGGTGCAAGAATTGGCCAATGATCAACCTTCAGAGAAGTTGCGGAACTCTTTGATGAGACGCCTACCGTAAGAAGACCAGATGAGGGAGTAATAGATGCCTTCACTTCCATCTTCTCATCTACCAAGGGAGCAACCATAACAGGAACTTGCTCGGAAACAAGAGACGTGGCAAATTTGATATCGGAGTTTCTCTTGGGTGACTTGCTGGCCGTCGAGACGTTGCTGTCGTGCTTCGAGTGACTGAGGGGATCCGACTTTGTAATCCCTTTAGTTTCTGGAACCTCAAAACCCTCTGGGATGGGAACCGGCATCTTTGCCGCCGAAAGCTCGGCGTTCTTGACCTCCAGCTTGGGCTCATGAATCTTTATTCTCTGCTTTGGCTTGGCCTTCGACGCGGTGTTCTTGCTCGAAGCATGGCTCGGAAGTTCAATAGCGCTTTGGGATCTTGGGATCGATGGTGTCTCTGTGGCCACGCTAGGCTTTCGGCTGGGTATGCTGCTGAAAGAAGTGTCTCTGGTCATGGGTGTAGAATCGGCTGGCGAAGTTGCAGTCTGCATGGTGGCATCTGTGGTTGAAGAAGCCTCGCTTCTGGACGTACCAATGATCTTCTTTGCGCTCGACTTGTTTTTCTTCTTGCCGCCCTGTGATTGATTTAGGTGAATCTTGACAGTGGCTGACGCCGAGTTCTCGGAGAAACTATGGTCCTTAGAATCAGCAGCCGAAAGAGACTTGACTGGGGAAGCTGCCGGGGTAGGACGAGCCGACCTGTCGGGAGAGTTAGTGTCGTGTAGGAGCCACTCTACTTATGTGAGATGAACTTACGTGTTTTGCCTTGATCCCTTCTTGTTATTCTTCGGGTAATTGCTGACAGATGCAGCACTCTTTCCTGGTGCGAAATTTTCCTTCTTCATGTCAGAGCCAGGATAAATCATCCCTTGTTGCATATAGATCTTTGGCTCAGGTCTATCAGCGGAGCTCTTGCCGTTGAAACGATTGGCAACATTCCCCAAGACAAATTGTTGCTGAACGTAATTTTTCATGGCAGTCTGGTGTTGCGCCACTTCGGTCTCTTGAGAGCGTAGTTGATTGTCCTCAAAATAAATTTTTGCTGGAGAGTTGCCATTGGTTTGAAGACCAACAGACGGTTTTCGTGAGTGTGCAGGGCCATTATAGTTAGAGATACGATTGGACATGCGACGTTGGTGTGGGCCATAGTCTCGCTGGTCACCATGAAGATAGTGGCTTGCGTTGCTACCTGATCGGTCTCTCAGAGTATTAGGAACGCTCAGATTTAGGGTGCAACCATGAAAATCAGCTCCATTCCAGCGGAGAATCGCTCGTTCGACCGAGGCGTGTTCAACGAACCTAAAGGCTGTCAGTATTCCGACCAAATGAAACGAAAATTTACTTACGTAACAAATGTTCGGCCCTTAGAAGCCAGGTAGTGTACGCTCTCAACTTGGCCACACTCTTCCATGATATCCTTGATGACATGACTGCGGAACGCATCCTCGCTGAATCTGAAAACATGCACAGTTCTGACATTTTCATGGTCTTTACCGCGTGGCGGAAGATAGTACATAGTGTAAGCATCACCGCTCGAAGTCGGAACAGGGGATCGCAGGGATACTGATTTTTTATCATGAGTACCGCTGAAGAGTCGGCCAGTAGTTTGTGGCTCATGATGGCCATTCGAGACTCGTGCGTCGTTACTGAAAACTTGCGCCTTAGAACGCATAGGGAGTGGTGGCATGGTAGCAGTTTGGAGGGTAGCAGAACCAGAGACGCTGCGCTGAGCAGTCTGTAGAGTCATTTGACTAGGAGGGGAAGTATCGTTGGCCGAGTTGTGGGAGACATTTCGATGACCGGAGGGTGAGCCGTAGTGTCCACCAGGTGCTTGATTTCGATATGGAGATGGGACAGCAGGAATAGGCTCTGAGATATTACGCTGGGTAACGCTTACAGACGGAGGGACGTTGCGAGGGCTGTGGAGTATGTAGACTGGCTCTCGGGTGGGAGTGTTGCCATGAGGGCTTCCCCTAAGATTGTTTCCGGGCTGGCGTCGGTTGTTGTGATTGTTTGAAACCGAGTTTCGATGGAAAACTCTTCCATCTCGAGATGCATTTGAGAAGCCTCGTTGTCGATTGTGGCTGAGGTAGCCGTCGGCAGCCGGGCCTGTGGGTATATACGGTTGGCGAGAAGGGTGGATGCTATAAACCCGAGCTTGGCGATCTGTAGTAGTTAGTAATGATTATGAAGCCCGGCAATTTTGATTCGAAGACTCACGTGCTTGGTTTGAGAAGGATTCACAATGTCCACTCTGCTGTTCAACAACTGAACGAGGACCCATCGAGGCCATAGAACCTCCACGCTGCTGGCGCAATGTAATTTGGCCCGGAAGTGGCATAATTGGACCTTGACCAAGCTGATATCCAGTGTATAGGCCAGGCTGTTGAGGACCAAACATAGGAGGGCCGCCAAAAGGTGGAACAGGTCCACGATGGCGTTCTGCAAGTATACGGGACTGCTCATCCATTCTTGCCAGCAATCTATCGCGGTAGAAGTTGAGCCAAGTCGTGAAGTAGTTTATCTCTTCTGGTCTCATGTCGATGAAGTTGGTCTTGTCGACCTCGTCGAAGAAGACGGTGAGATCGGGGATATGGCGGTTATGAAAGACCAATGGCTGATGGTATTCGACCCAGTCTTCAGCGACCTCGCGGATCATAGCTTGTTGCTGCTCAAGGATAAGAGCGTTCTCTTTCGCAAGACGAGTCTGCTCTTGTTGCTCAAGTTGAACACGACGAGCTTGTTCTTGATTCTTGCCTGGATGAGGTCAGTGCTAGGTCCATATGGCAAGTCGAGATAGGGTGTAAAGCGCAAAGCCGAGTACTTACGGGCAATGGTGATGGCAACGAAGAAACAGAAATCGGGGCCTTCAATCCACAGGTCGTAGCCATCAAAGTAGTCGTGCAGACCCCACCAATCCGGCTCATCGACAAGGCGGCAGGCAATCCCAGGGAAGTCCTTGATGAGTTGATCCGCTCTGGCCTCGACGTCCCCTTTTATATTGGTGCGAATGACGGGCATTGGAAGTGGATCGGGCAGTTCGCGCTTGGGCTTGGTGCCATTGTGGGTAGAGAAGGCAGCGCGGCTATTGGCAGCAACTTGGTAGAAGTGAGGTGGTACGATGCTGGTCGACATGGCGGGTGGAGTTGGCGGAGGCGAAAGAAAGGGCTGAGTGTACGAGGGAGCTGAGAAGGTTGAGTTAGTGATCTGCTGCTGTTGCGCGGGCGCGGGCGCGGGTTGGGAGGGGGGGATGGGGAGTGAGCGGCCGAGCAGCATCGGAGGATAGGAGAAGGACGAGAGACCGGGAGATCGATAGATCGGAGGAGACTTACCAAGAGGATTGAGCGTCTGCGATCGCAAGTGCTGATGTTGGGGGGTAGGCGGAGAGGGAGGGGAAGGGTGTGCGAATGACGAAGTCTCGAAGAAGCTCGACGCGTCCAAGTGAAGATGGGGATGGGGTTGGTAGTTGTAGTGTTGTGGACGGAAAGACATGTTCAACACCAGATTGAAGAGCCAGAGCAATGGGAGTACAAAAATGGAGAGTGGAAGGGGCAGATTGTATTTGGGACGGAAAGAGAAAAAAAGGGATGGAGTCGCTTCTTACAGGCGAAAGGAACGAGTTGAATAGGCGCTACCAAAAAAATTTACGCTCGCTCTAGACAAGTGAATAAGCGCCAATCTCACCTCTCTACCTGGTCCAAGCTGTACAGAACTCTCAATGAATGTCTACAGAACCACAGAGAAGGCACGACGGCTTTGCGGTCGGCGGTGGGACAATAGAGAGATCTCCATCTCACTATCAACTCTTTGTATAAATGACGCGAATTCATACAGTAAAGAGGCTCAACCATGGTTCCACCTCTTTGTCCCCGGGGGCGTAAAAGCCCTCGCTGTTGATGTAAAGCGCAGATTCAACTATGCCATTGAGGATAAAAGGATGCGAAGCGGCATACAGAACTCCAGACTCTTATTCTCTTCACCCGCCCTGCCGAGGCGCAATGAAATAGTGTATCACGGCAGAGAGGTTGGACATTGAATCTCAATTTTCAAGGCAAGCATCTCGGCAAAAACATGGGCTTTCGGAGTGGCTCCTTAACGCATAAATATATCAAGCAAAGACCAACGAGAGTACTACCCACCTTTTTTACTGATCATTTTTGGCAGCATTTAATGCCATGGTCAATCATTGTTGCATTGTACGCCATACTCAGCTGCTTTTACACATTGCGACCCCGTCACTCCATGCATGCCTCAATGGGAGTGCTACAATGTAGTGGTATCGTTATCTCTTATTTCGGCAGACTGTCAATCATTTTCAAGATCTCCGATTCATTCGCACCAGGAACCGCTTTTCCATTCGCCCAATCGACTGTCTACAAAGCCATTAGTCAAATCCTTCAGACCCAGAACCTCAGGGAGCATACGACAGGGGCCTGGAAGTTTTCCGAGCTCTCCTTCAGCTTCTTCATCGCATCCGCCTCGTCTCTGGCACCCTTGATGATCGTGCCCGCCTTCTGAGCTCCGACGTATTCCAGGATGCTCTTTAGCTGGTCTGTGGTAGGGGGCTCCTCGGTGACTTCGAGCTCGAACTCGGGGCGTTGAGGCTTGCTTTGCCTAGAGTGATCGCTGGCTTGGTCTTGGGTGGCATACTCGCTGGCGTTGGCAGATACTTGCTTGAGGAGAGAGTTGACCTTCATGGAAGCTGGCGAGCTCGCCTTGTGGAAAAGGGTGATCACATCTTTGGTTTTGTGCTGTGGAGGTTTTCTGATTAGAATTTTGGTTTAATCTGTTCTCATGCCTTTTACGCAAAAAAATTTCTAGACATGCCCACTTACGAATCGAAACATCATGAAGCGTAGGCGACTTCTTTATTGAAATCGCAGTTGATGGATGGATGACATGACGTTGAGCTCTTCAAAGCTCAGGCGAGCTGCCCGACGCCGACGGCCGACTCCTAGCCGACCCCTGCCCCTCCTCCCGCTGCCAAGATCTGTTGCCCGAACGATCGTGTTGACCTGAAGTCGAAAGCGACCCGAAGCAAAAAACCAAACCTCCAGAAGCGTCTCGATACTTTCTCTGCCCTTGCGTCCACATTCCATTCCATCCCACCGAAGCCTGACCAATCCTTGACCACGAAACAGCCTAGACAGCATGCCGCCCCTGATCTTACATAATGTTCCAGAGGACGAGCTTTTCACTGGCGACGACGGTGTTACTAGACCATATGGCATGTACTATCCTGGGTAAGCACTTTTAACAGACTCACCCATCTACCTACTTCTCTCTGCTCAGCGCAATGGCCGACCAGATCCCAATCCTCCCTGGCTTCTTCGATCCTAACAACGAGTTCTTCAGCAACGATGGCAACCCAACCGTATCGCGCGTGCGCAGGACGGTCCCTGAAACAGGCTCTTTTGGAAAATCAACCAGGCGCTCGAGATCGAGGACAGGCACACCCGCAGCAAAACGAGAGGATCCTACATTGGTAGCCGCCGACGCGATCTTCTCCCAGTTCTTCGCCCAAAAAGCTACCGAACTGCCGGAACTACCTCAGCGCAAAACCTCGCTCTCGGCCTCGATCTCCCAACCAAATCTCAGCTCTGGAGCACCCCTGGCGCAAATCGATGGAAATGCAGGACCTTCGCGCTTCTCGAAGAAGGAACCTCACAAGGAACCTACGGAAGTCATCTTAAGGGGATTCGACTCGACGCAGCAATATGCTGTTATCAGGGAGTACGAAAATCTAGCTGGACGGATCTGCGAAGATTACCCTCGGGACGCACCCATCGAGCAACGGCGATACAAAACTGACCTCCGAGACCAAGCCTCCCTTCGCCGGAAACCCTTGACCATGGAGGAGAAGGCCAAAGCGTTGAAGTTCGCAGGAGGAGAGCACTGGATCAAAGTCACTTTCGAGTCCGCAGAAGCAGCAGAAATCGCCGTAGAGTCGTCACCACAGAATATTATGGGCCACCTGGTCTACGCTGAGCTCTACCGGGGCGTACCACCAACATCAGACGAACCGGTCACTATAACAGGCGGAGGGAATTCGCGGACACCAGGGGGAAGCAGATACCAAGCGCAAAGTCTGGGTACGACATCAGGCTTTAACGCCAGCTCGGCCAGACGTCCATTCTCTAACCTCCCTCTATCACAAACTGCACTCGAAATGCGCGAGGTTAGCTCTTCCTCGTCCACAGGCTCGCACACATCCTCTCAAACCATGGACACCGGTACCATAGCCTCCTCTTTCTCATCCGGCACAGTAATCGGGCAGCTAGCCAGCGACCAAGAAACTGGCGACCTCCTCTACTGCCGCAAAATCCCCACAGCCAAACGCATGCAACTCCTTCCTGCCGAGAACGCTTACCTGCCGCAGCAATCTATGACGAAGAAAGTTGTTTCCAGCATCCCTCTCATCGGGTGGCTGACTGAAGATATCTTTGGCAGCGTGATCCCCAGGACTGATCAGGGGGAGTTTGATTGGGCGCGTGCTAATTTCTACTGGAGGGTGATATTCTTCCTCAATTTCTTTGACTGGATGGGGATTGAGAAGGAGAACCAGGAGTAAGGGGTCACTGTAGAGGGGGAGGGCAAGCGAGGAAGCGTAATTGGATTACACCGTTTGGCTGGTTGTCGATAGCGTGGCGTTCAGCATGAGGCTATGGCAAGGGAATAACGAGACAGTGTATACCGATGTCAAGAACGCCAAGGACTTACTTATCTACCTCACAGGTGCTATTTGTGACATGCAATTTTGTGCAGGAAACACTTGATGACCCTCACCACAGTCCTACGGGACATACAATCAGCCAAAAGTCTCATAACTCTAAGTAGCACCACTACCGGGGTATTCTATACCAAAAAAGGACGCTCTACCTCCCACTCAGACCATCCCCTATTCAGACACAACACTCATCACTCGTAGCACTCCACCTGCGTTCCCTGGCTCTAACACTTTGTCCACTATCACTCTGCCGCGTGTCCGTCTCCTTCGAGTCAGCACTTTCCCCTTCTTCTGTAGCCGATTCGTGCTCAGGCACCGTGACCTCCGGTAAAACTGTCTTCCCAGAGCCAGATTCGACTCTCTCCTGTTCCTCTGCAGCATCCTCTTCTTCGCTTTCGCTCTCAGGTACCTCCAGAGCAGGCTTTCCGTAGTCTTCCAGTGGATCGTTAACCCTTTCTCCTGACGTGGGAGAAAAAGGCCGTACAGCCCTCGGTCGATTCAGTAGTCCCGAACTGGGCATATCCCTCTCCGAGAAAATGCTATTCACATCCGTATCCCCAGCCCCCGAAATCGCTCCTGTGAGACTCTGGTACGGCATTCCACCAACCAGCAAGCTATCACTCCTCGAATGCATGATATCCGGCGGCCCAGCTGCGCCGTCCTCGCCCGCCAGTATGCTCCTGTTCTGCGGCAATATACTGAAAATCTTGGCCGCGTGATTTGGATGCGCATCTGCACCCCCCAGCTCCTCATTCGCAAAAAGATCCCTCCCCTTTTCCAATAGATCGTCTAGCCCTCCTCCGTTCCACCCTTTTCTCGCCAGCGCCTCGAAGATATCAATTTCTGCCCTTACAAGCCCAGCGGTACACTCCACAATCCCCTTGCTCATCTCCTGGCAATCCCTGAGTAAACCGCGACTATGACCCCCGCTCAACCCCGTTAACGCGTCCAATTTCCCCGTCAGCTGCACCAGATGCTCCCTGAACTTCCCCACGTCCCTCTTCCTCTGCTTATGGAGCCTCAACCCCTCCTTCTCCATCTTCCGAATCTCCTTGCTCATACTCTTTGCCTCCCGCTGATAGGCTCCCTCCTCCTCCTCCATGCGCCGCCGCCACTGATCTAAGTCGTGCAGCAACGGCACCTCGAAACTCCGATACACCGTCTCGCTCAGGATCTGCTGGTGGTTCCCCACGAGCTGATGCACGCCGGCTGCCGCCATTAGGCTATCCGCTGTGCAGCTGCTCTTCGCGGAGAAGCTGTTGGTCATGGATGCCGCGGCCGAGGAGGGCATCACGTCGCTACGGGCTTCCTTGAGGCGCGCACATGCTTCGAGCGCAGAGCCGAAGTTGGAGGCCGAGACGGAGAGCGCAGCCAGAGCGAGGCGGTAGGCCTTGGCGGAGGAGAGAAGGTCGGTATAGGCTGTTTGCGAGGCCTCGAGGTCCGACTTGTTAAGCACGGCGTGAGCCCGCGGGGGCGGGGGGAGAGGGAGGTTGAAGGAGCTGGCGATGAGGTTCGAGGTGCTGGCGTAGGAGTAGGTCGGTGAGCCGGGGATGGGAGGGAGGGCCGATGGGCTAGGCGGCTGGCTTCCGAAAGACATGTTTTTTAGCTCTGTTTTGGGGGGGTTATATTCCCTCTGTCCGAGGCCTCGGGGATGTTTCGATTCGTTTGTTTACTCTAGGGAGTTGGATGCGGCGATTCGCATGGGCAGGATATTGGGAGGTAGATTGGCGCAGTACGGCGAAGGTAAAGACGGACAGGGCTGATGAGAGAGATGGAATACATTGACTTGTGATGCTAGGATGGATGCTTCTTGGTTTTGTTGTTGTTGTCGTCGTCGTCTTCAGACCCCTTGCGAATACAACGGGACCCAAGACCCGATAACGATATGGAAACAGCCCCTGCAGCCTTTCGGCACCCCACCAGAGACCCCGAAGCAGCTCCGACTTCTCTTTCTGAGTCGCATCTTTGGCAGTCTGTACTTCACGAACGGAAACTGGGTCTTTTCACTGGTTGCCAATCTTGACTGTTCAAAGTCCCTTCTACTCTTCGCCTCTTCTTCCCAAACCTGACATCACAAAATAACAACCGCAAGCAACATGTCGAAACCGACCTCCCTCATCATCCCCGCCGTCAAGAAGCACACAGCTACTGTCATCATGGCCCATGGTCTTGGTGACAGCGGAGCGGGCTGGGTCTCGCTAGCAGAGAACTGGCGCCGCAGACAAAAGTTCGAGGAGGTCAAGTTCATCTTCCCAAATGCGCCTTCTATCCCAATCACAGTGGTAAGTCCATGTCCCATAGCTTCGTTTTCCTCGTCAACAAGAACTGACCGGAAAACAGAACAGAGGCTACGTTATGCCAGCATGGTATGATATCGTAAGACACACTTTCTGCACACTCGAATCCTCGATACTCTGTAAGCTATATGCTGATGGAAGGCTATATAGATTGAGTTCGGCACCGACGCCGCAGGCGAAGACGAGAAAGGTATCCTCAAATCTCGCGAGTACTTCCACGGCCTGATCGCCTCCGAGATCAACGCTGGCATACCTTCCGAACGCATTGTCATCGGAGGGTTCTCCCAAGGCGGCGCCATGTCCATTTTCTCCGGCGTCACAGCCCCTACGAAGCTGGGAGGCATCTTCGGCCTCTCTTGCTACTTGTTGCTCAACAAGAAAGTCAAGGACTTTGTCCCGAGCGACAGCCCGAACAAGGACACGCCAATTTTCATGGGGCATGGTGACAGAGACCCGATCGTCTCGCCTCAGCGTGGTCAGAAGTCTGCGGACGTTTTGAAGGAAGGGGGCTGGAAAGTGGATCTGAAGATGTATCCGTAAGTGAACTCTATTTGTACCAGCTTATAAATGCTCGCTCACGGACTCAAGGGGACTGGAACATTCGGCTCTTCCGGAGGAGATCGACGACGTAGAGAAATATCTGAACTCGAGGATACCGGCTGTAGGAGACAAGCCTGAGTTTTGACTAGATGGACCAATGGCAAATGACGGTATCAGTGGCTATACGATTCTGCTAGTGTTTTTAGTGACTGTATTCACGGCTACCGTAGGGTGGTACATGGTCAAAGGCAAAGGGCAGGGTAGCACCCAGCGACAGACGAAGGCAAGACAGTCCTAGATATCTCGATGGATTAGAAATCAAAAGAGCAAGAAAAGTCATTCCACAACTCTACAACGTCCCGATATACGAACTTCCTAAAACAGAAAGATTATTAATATGAGGCCGAATGCATTTCCTAAAACAGAAAGATTATTAATATGAGGCCGAATGCATATTAATCCTTCATCGCACGATTAAGACTCGCTGACCCATTCCAAACTCACGAGTTACCAATCACACCCTGTCTCGGATCCCACCTCTCGTTACTTTCACCTTTCCTTATTTAAGCCTCGCTTCCAACCGACGGTTATCAACAACATCATCCATCCAATATCCATCAACACCTATCCATTCCATCTCCATGAATTTCTTCTCCTTCCGCTTCCTCACATTCATAGTATCCGTCTTCATTCTAACAATAGCCATCCTCCTTTCCCCCAACGTTCGCATGTTCACCACTCCTCGCACCCTCCTCTCCCGCCTCTTGCCTTTAGGTAATCGTCCGGCTCCCACTGCCACGCCTCCTCACAATAACGAGGTACCACCTATAACAAGCAAATCCGATAACTCCCACTCCAAAACAAACACATCTCCTGCACCAGCGAACATGTCCACGACGAGCCGAACACCGGTCTACTTCCTCAGTCATGGAGGCGTAAGTCCTCCGTCCCATAACCTATGTCCACGGATTCTATCAACTCTACAATGGCTAGTTATATTCCAGTTGCTGACGAAAGGTCGGAGGGAATAGCCAAATATCATGTACGAAAAAGACCACCCCGTCTTCCCGAAACTGCAAGAGATCGGCCGCGAGATCACGCAGAGGGTAAAGCCCAAAGCCGTCGTCGTCTTCTCTGCCCACTGGCAAGCCAAGCCCAACGCTATCGAGATCAATACTTTCGAAGATACAGAACTGATCTACGAGTTCGTCTCCCCCAAAAAATTGATCAATAACTGTATCTTGCTAACTCAAGGGCGAAACAAGTTTCTACGGCTTTCCCTCGCATTATTACGAGGAGACCTATCCGAACAAGGGCTCCTTCCCGATAGCGCAGCACGTGATCGAGCTGTTGACGAAGCATGACATCCAAGTCTCGGGCACCCGGCGCGGCCTGGACCACGGCGTCTGGGCCTCCTTCAAGGTCGCCTTCGACCCGCTCACCAACCCGCTCCAGGTCCCCGTGATCCAGGTCTCGCTTTTCGCCACCGAGTCCCCGACCCAGCACCTCGCGCTGGGCCGCGCCGTCTCGGCGCTCCGCTCCGAGGGCATCTGCCTGATCATGAGCGGCATGGCGGTGCACAACCTGAGGGATATGCGCTTCGGCTTCGACGACGTGCAGCCGTATGCGAAGAGCTTTGACGAGGCGCTGAGGGAGGCGGTGGAGGGAGAGGGGGATAGGGACGAGAAGATGATTGCGCTGTTGAAGCGGAAGGATGCCAGGGGCGCGCATCCGAGCTTTGAGCACCTGCTGCCTGTCCACGTGGGAGTCGGAGCCGCGGCGGGGGATGCCGGGAAGAGGCTATGGACGCTGGTCGAGGGGCCGTTTAGCTGGGCCCAGTATAGATGGGGAGAGCTGCCGTGAAGCTTGTTGCGGAGGGGGGAGGCCGAGCTGGCGATACTTACTGTAAATAAATTTGGCTTGGGCCGCCTCTTGAGTAAATAAGTGATTGCAATCCACCATCGCCTGGGTCCCAAGATGTTTCGGCTCCCGAGAGAGACAGAGAGAGAGAGAGAACGTCCGTAATAAAGGGAGAGAAATCAACCTGGATATTCAAAAAGACATCAGATACACCAGAGACTTCGCTAATGTAGTCCCACACGAAAGAACAATGAGAAGAAGAACAACAATTCAAAACTCACACAATTAACAAGTACCCCGTTGTCTGGCCTCTCGAGTCACTTTCATAATGGGAGGTTACAGAGAAGACGAGCAAGACCGATTGCTTGAGCAGTATTTATATTACTTCCCGACTCGGACACTGTCACGCGTCGTTGGGATTGTGGTCTCACATGACATGTACTTGCTGGCGGAGAATAGAAAGACGAATCGGAGTATACTGACAAATAATATAATAGTAGTAGCTAATTTCTATTAAAGAGCCACTCCCTTCCAGGTATATTGCAGAGCTAGAAGACGTTTCGAGCATCATATATTCTATGGGATGGAACTTTCAATGCTTGGAATTCCACGAGTTCCTTCGATACCCCATTCCTCCCCATTAAACAGTTTCGGTCGTATATTCTTTTAGGTTGTGATTTGTATCATAGCATTGAGACCATGAATCCAAGCCATTGGCATTTACCACATCAGTTGGAACGAGCATCTGCAAGTCTCAACCGAAATCCGGGATTCATGAGAAGCGTACCGCTCTCTTGGGGCTGGGTTTGTCGCTAGATAAATAGAAAATATAATCCACGATGACATTGTCGCGTTCGTACCGTAAATGCATCTTCGTACCCTCAAAACCCCTCTCTCCCTCCAGTAATGGGATGTAGACTTCACGCGTATTTGCAATCTTTATCGGGATCCCCTTCGACAACACGGTACCAATCGCTTTTCCTTGATGGAAACCCCTATCTCTCAGGTTCTTATCCTATTTGAGATTAGTAGCTTAGCGTTTAATTCATGATTTACTGCAAAGCGGCTCGTTTTTACGACGGCACGACCCAGGCCAAGGTCCTCGCCGCCTCCACGCCCAAGGAACAGAAGTCTCTCGGCAAGCTGGTCAACGGGTTTGATCCCGAGAGCTGGGACGAGGTCAAGAGCAGCGTGGTGCTGGCGGGCTCGATTGCAAAGTACGAGCAGAACCCGAAGTTGAAGGACAAGTTGCTGGCTACGGGTGAGAGGTTGTTGGTTGAGGCGGCTTCGAAGGACCGCGTGTGGGGAATTGAATATACAGAGAAGGAGGCGATGAGTAATCGAGAGCACTGGGGTGAGAACAGGCTGGGAAAGGCGTTGATGGAGGCGAGGGAGCATTTGATGGGGAGGACATAGAAGAGAGATTCGGAGAGGCGTACAGGCATTGCTGCTTACAAGACATGAGCCTTTGTGGGTTTCACTCCATACCCGACAGACTCGTTAGAACTAACTCTATGTAGGGCCAAGCTGTGTTGCATTATATACTCGACTAATTGACTTTATTACTACATACCATCACATATTGAAGAGAACTTTGGTTATCTATTTAGCTTGTAAAATAATTGTATCAATAGTAGGTATGCTTCGCTCAGATTCTATACTGTAATCGCTATTGTAAAGAAACAATAAAAGTGGTAAGAGACACATTGAGGTGCAATTGATGTCTAAGAATTTCCCTTCAACAAGCGAGTGACGGGGGTATGATGTGCTGCAGCCAAGGGGTGGCCGATCAACTCAAATTGTACATACAGTCCGGCAGAGTGTTCATATAGATAGATACAAGCTGATTAACGAACAAGGCATGTTCTACCAGATATAGTTACCAGATATAGTCCTACAAGCCCGCGTCCCCTGAGAATCGGCCGTAGGCAATGAGGATATTCATCTCTAGGGGAGAATAGTCTGCATTACTGTGCAGACAGGCCGGAAAGAATGGACTTGGTGATATCGCATACCTATCCTTGGTCTCCATATCGATTGGGGGTTGACTTGTTGTGTAAATGAATAATGTCCATAGAAAGAGCGAGCAAAAGGAACTCTATAGCGCTTACAAATGGACTGTCAATGTGTAGCATTTCAACCAGAATTTGAGGGCCCAATGGGATCATAGATCGGTGTGCACTTGCGCTTGAAACATTTCTCGACTGATCCGTCCTGATACCCCATCACGATCAAATACCCCAAACCTTATATAATCCAGAGCACCAATGTCCCAGAGCCATAGTCATGACGAGCCGCTTTGCATTTTGTAAGCTATCGTTCAAGACCTTGCAAAGCCCATATGCCATCCATGCGCAGTCCTGCCCTCAAATAACCCACAAAACAGCATGAAACCCAAACCCAAAGCACTTAACGGGTGGTGGCCTGGACCTTCTTTGGCGCACCCTTAGCACCCATCTTGCTTGTGACTCTCGAGTTCAGTCCTCCCTTGGCGGCACTAGCAGCAGTCTTCGCCTTCTCAGCCTTCTTTGCGCTCTGAGCAGCAGCTCGCTTCTCCTTGCCCTCCTTGATGGCAGCTGCGCGAGCAGCACTTCGTGCCTCGGGTCTCTGGCTTCGTCGCTCCTTGATCACGTCGAGGGAAGCACCAACGATGGCACGTTGAGACTTGACAGTTCGGCGGGATCGCTTCTTCGCAACTTCCTGTTGTCGAGAGTATGATTAGCCCTCATCCACCGCACCGGATCTCCAACCTGTCATCCGGCCCTGTATGCATCTTCTTGCGCCAAATTAAATCGCAGAATGTGCCATACCTCAGAGATACCCTTCTTGTGTTGTCTGCGGAAAAGGACAGTCCAGGCGATGCGGCGGGGATTCTTTCGTTGGAGAAAGAGGGATTCGGTCTTTCCATTTTGGAAGCGGAAGATCTTGGAGTCTCCACGGACGTAGAGCTTGCCCTGTAAAACATTCCGTCAGCACTTCATTCTTCATTTCCCTTCAAGAGCCCAGATCTCCAGATCTCCATCGCCAACGTGCTCTTCTCCTTCAATCATCTTTTACTCGCCACCAAACTGGCGACGCGCGGAACGAATTATCGTACCTTTCCAGGGTAGATCTTCTCGCCGGAGAAGGTATCATCGTAGGTACGCATTTTTGCTGGAGTACTGCGACGTGGTTAGGTGTTGGTGTCGTCGTTTGGCGTAGTTGTCGTGTCGTCGTCAATCAAGCTGTATTGAGAAGAATTGCATTTCTTTGTGGGCGCTAGCGGGGCAGCCTAGCCGAACTCTTAGCGTCATATGGTTTGAGCCGCATTGACTTCATTGATTTCAAGATAATACCTATACCATGAGCACGAATACGCCCTTAATATTCTCCTTGGAATTTAAAATGAAATGAAATAAACAGAAACCAGCCCTGCCGTTGTTGCTCTTCCAGGGCCCCAAAAGACCCGGAACGTCGAATAATATTCTCACGTGATCAACGTCGACCTAGGTACCTACACTGTCCGGGCGCCGCCAGTAGCCACCCATCTTGGAACTAAGGCATTCATCCGACTTGTCAATCCGGAGAGGGAAGTTTGTTTTTTTTAAATCATCGCTACTATGGGTTTCACACCCGAGCCGGCCCTTCCTGGAACGGCTCCATGCCTCAAATCAGATTCTGGCGAGATATGGACTCCCCTATACAGCCACCCCTGTACTTTTCCCGCGGAAATCTTTAGAGAGGTCATTCTGAACCTCATTCGAAATCCCAATATCAATTCAAATCATCTTTTCAGAGCAGACATATCTCTTGACTGTCCATTTGGCGAAAACGTTCCCATCGAAACCACCATTCAACCCAAGATCACTCATTTTCAAGGTTACGATCTCAAGAGAGTGATGGTTCGAACTATGATACCTAGGAATATGGCCGTCGATAAGCCACTCGATCAAACATGCAACTTTTACGAGCAGGTCAAGGATTCCGGAGAAGCTCTGTCTCTGGTCACCTATCTGCCCCATATCTCATCCGCACAAGAATCTCCCTTCTACCACCCGGCTGTTCGAGGAATAGGATTTCTCCACACCTTCAATGCCCAAACCGAAGAAGGTTTACTGTCAATACATTACTCACTCTTTGAATCGGAATCCCGGTCAGTGAAGTTGGAGCGAACAGCCATGCATCTTCTGCATGTTCTCCATAAGCATGGACAAGGCTCGTTAAATGGATACGTCAAAAGAGTCAATCATGACTTGATCATACCGCAAGCGGTAGTCCAGAACACGTATGCACGGCTAAAGGTCAAATATGCAAGAAATATTGTTCTGGCATGGGTCGAGAGCACGGATCCTGGAAAGCACGTCTTCGAGGATCTCGGTATTGCCGCGTTCTTGATCGAGCTATGGGCAGAAATGTACAAAGATAAGGAGTTTCCAGGCTTCGTTGACATCGGCTGTGGCAATGGTCTCCTAGTCCACATCCTGCTTGAAGAGGGCTATGTCGGTTGGGGGTTTGATGCGCGGAAACGCAAGTCCTGGTCATCTTGGGGTTCTAAAGCGCAAGAAAGCTTGAAGGAGCTCGTGCTGATCCCTTCTGTCATCCAAACCACCTCGAATCCCACATCAGAGCGGGAGCCCACAAATAATGAGAACGGTACAGCATCCAATACCTCGATAATGCCCTTTGAGGAAGCGGACCTAGTCTCTAAGTTTCAAGCAACTCAGATCTCAGGGACTCACAACGGCGTCTTCCCCAAGGGAACTTTCATCGTCTCCAACCATGCCGATGAACTCACACCTTGGACACCTATTCTGGCCAACATTTCTGAATCTCCCTTCATGATGATACCCTGCTGCAGCCATTCTCTCAGTGGCTCTCGCTTCCGCGCTCCCCCTCCCAAAGATGCAGGAGCATCTAGCTCTGCGTACGCATCCCTCGTCGCCTGGGTCTCAAAGCTTGCAAAAGACTGCGGATGGGAGGTCGAGAAGGAGATGTTGCGTATTCCTAGTACTCGGAACACGGCATTGATCGGTAGACGGAGGGAGATTCCCTTCAAAGATGTTGATGTGCGAGACTTGGTTCAGGACTATGGCGGTGCTGCTGGTTGGGAGGAAAATGCCATGAAGCTTGTCAAAGCGGCGGCGAGAGGGCATTGAGATCGATGCCTTCAAGAGAGAGAGAGCGTTGGCAGTGCCGCATCAGGCTTTCAGGCTCGCATAGGTATTTCTACGAAAATAGAACCCGTCGTATGGTCCGATCATTTGTCTCCATGTGCCTTATCTAGATGTCATCCTGCAGAATCACCAGTAAAGCGAGAGGCGACTTCAATACAGCACGCGCCGAGCTTGAATACCCGCTCCAGCCCGCTGCAAAGGCTCCCAAAGTCGACCTCCCACGTGACACAAAGGAAGTATCGCGAAACTGCGCCAACAAACGTCCATCTCCAACTCCTATTTACAGGTGCCAGGTGAAACTCGAGCCAGAGTAGTGTCATGACCGGCGCCGTCTCAAATAGTATGATCTCCACATGACACCATCCTGATTCGCAAGACCGAGCTTGAAGAACTGCTCTTCTCGATATATATCCCATCCACCCATCCACCCCAGCCCAGCGCTCTGTTTATATTCCATTTATATTCCTTCGTTGCTGTAATCAACGAGGCATCGTCTTGCACTGGGAAATAGCCATGATGGGAAATGCTCGAAGAAGAAGGAGTACTTGAATGCTTGGCTGGGTATTGCATGCCGATTGAGCTATACTCGTACAGTGGATTGAAGAAAGGGGCCCAATATGGGAGGCAGTGCAGGGAAGGGGAACAACTCACCATGTTACTGGCGAGGGCGAGGTCTTTTGGCGAAGAGGTGGAGACCCTAGGCTGGCAGTTAGTTTACGTTCTTTTGCCGAGATTGTTTCGACATGGAATTCAGTGTTTATCCAGCAGTGGGAGTTTTCCCGGCGTAAGTTACATACATGCCATGGTTATCAGCAGTGTGTGTTTGCGGATGAGAGCGGGTATTTATATAGCTCGTGCCGAATTTTTCTCTATATGGTATGTTATGTCTTGTGAGAAAATAGAGAAGGTATGAGTGATGACGCCGAAGTAGTTTCTGGGTATATATATAGGTACATACATCACATACGCGCGCGGACCTGGCACATTCATTTACATATCACGAGCATCGACGACGAGGTTGATATGAGTGATTTTGATTCCAAAAAGATGAACTTGAAATCTTGGAGGCACCGGTAAAACCCAACGTGTTATGAGATGGCACGTTGGGAAAGGTTGCCTCCTCCTCCTCCACCTGTCCCTGATGTGACAATCCGATACAGAACTGAAGAGCAACAAGCACGAAATCGAAACGTCCTCTGACAAACTGCTCTTACTCCAAGACCATATCCAACTGGCGAACACAAGCGCCCTTCCCTTCATTCCCCCTCCAACCCGCACGCAGACCATGTCCTCCTCCGCGAACGCCATTTCCAGATCCTACACCCCTCTTCAGCCCTTTCCAGACTTTCCAACCCTCAATCTTATATCCTCGTCGGCGATTCCAGATCCTCCGCGTCATATTATATCCTCGTCGGTGGCGATTCCAGATCCTCCAAGCCTTTCCAAGTCCTTTGCGTCGTATTATACCTCGTCGATGGCGATTCCAGATTCTCTAATCCATTCAAGATCCTCCAAGCCTTTCCAGGTCCTATGCGTCGTATCAAACCTCGTCGGCGGCGGTTCCAGATCCTCCAACCTTTTCCAAGTCCTTTGCGTCGTATTATATCCTCGTCGGCGGCGAATCCAGATCCTCCAACCCTTTTCAGATCCTCAACTTCTCAATACAATATCCTCGTCGGCGCTGATTCCAGATCCTCTTCGTCGTTTTATATCCTCCTTAGCGGCGAATGCTCCTTAGGACCGCCGATTCCAGATCCTCTAATCCTTTCCAGACCTCCCAACCCCAATACAATATCCTCATCGTCGTCAAATAAGAACGCCTTTTCCGAACCCTCCATCCATAAATCCATATCCTCCCCGGCGAATTCGAGCGTCGTTTCCGGTGTCGTCTCTAGTGTCGATCTTCCAGCCA